ACTGCACATCCACAGCCACAGTATCAGACACGGGATCTGCAACTGTCCGAATCGAAACAGCCGTTCCATGCAGCTCAAACCTTGAATCCAAAATCCCGCTGTACAAATCCAGAGTCTGCACCGTGCTAGTCACATCTGCTACCGAGATATTCGCCCCCTGGTACAAGAGCCCAACCCGCCCCAGATTGACCCGATGCGGATTGGCGATGAGCCACTGCGAGATAGCCGCCTCCGCAGGATTCGAGATGCCGTAGTTGACCAGGCGGTCGTGCGTCCACCAGTCCATGCCCGTGAAGTCGGAGGGCTCGGTCTGCCCGGGGATGGTGGGCAGCGAGTCGTTGCACCAACACCAGGACGAGAGGATGTTGAATGGGAGCAAGGTCTGTAGACCGGTGATGTCCGCTCCGAAAGCGAAGTCCCCGTTGCCGACCTGCATTGGTGTGGTGGTCGACAGGTTCGTGCGCACGGGATTGTACCTGCGGATCACATTTCGGCGGTCGATGATTCTAGTCGTCTCTGTGAGTGCGCCGACAGGCTCGAGGAGTGATAAGAGCGCAAAGAGCGCGCAGGGAGGCATAAGTAGCATGGTTGATATACGTTGCAAAAGCGCGGGATCGAATGATGACAGCCCATCAGCGGAGTCAAGCTGGAGCTGGAAACTCGTCAAACTATTCTTTTGTTGTCATGCACAATACTCGACATTCGTAAATCACTTTACGATGTTAGGGATCGTCTGAGAGGGCAGAATTGTTGCTTCTAGGACAGACTGCAACCAACAACCATCTCGACATGTACTCTATGCCGATCGCGGCTCCTCGGCGTAGACATAACCGAACCCCATTCAAATAGCCTGAATATGCACTGTCCTTTCAGACATGCACGGCATCATTGGTGGAATATTGACTATGTATGCTGCTTCCCCGCAAACTCGCTGCTGACATGGCCTTAAGATGAGATCTCCTTTGGACGATCAAATTCCGTCGAGGTTCTACATCTTAACTCTATCCGACAAAGATGCGTAATCACTTTCATACGCGATCTAGCAGAGCCTGCAAACTAGACAAATGTTCTCAGAAGAGCTTCTGCGATTGATCAGACCTCTACATCTTCCGCCGGCATCCAATGCACCGATATAGGCTCATGCTTGCTGCGAATCCGCTCTCCCTTTGACCAGAGCTGGAACGTGAGGTCTGCCGGCCCGACGACGACCTTCACCTCGAACGAGGTCCGCCAGAACGCAGGCTTAGAACTGTACCAGTGCCGGTTTTTCAATTTTTTGTCCACATTGTCCGTGAAGATGTCCAAGTTGCACACGGTTTGCACCCCCTCATGGTGCAGACTGCGGGGCAGCTCCCCAGGCATCCGGGTGGACATCACGATCTGGACTTTCCAGGGCTCGTTCTCTCTCCCGACGTCTGTTTTGAGATGAAATTCTTTGGTCACTCCTGCAGAGTCGATGGGGTAGCCCTTGGATAAAGGAGAGCGTTAGTGCGCTGTTAGGAACATGAGTGAAAGTGAGACGGATTGGATGGCGTACCCTTATCACTAGCCAGTCGATCTGGTCAAGCACATACATCCGGTTGTCGCGGGGATCGATCTGGACTCGTTCTCCAAGGTGGAAGTCTTTGCTGTACAGCTTGTTGCAGATGATCCCGTAGCTGACCGGCGCACAGCGGGAGCCAAAGGTGACGACGCCGCGTTTGAGCTGTTGGGTTCTGTCCATGACCAGTCCGTGGACGACGACCAATTGTCTAAAAGCAAAATCATGTGAGCAACAACCCAGAGGTATGGCATACAAGGGTCACTTACGGCTCATCAGCTGTCAGGACTTGCATTGTGCCACTGAGGGGACCACTTGTCATGCCCGATCCACTATACCTCTCCTGCAGTTGTTGTCGCACATACGGCGAGCTGCCCAGGCCACCAGATAGAATCAGATACGTCTACGCAATCAGTCAGTCTGTTTTTCAAATCCACGATTCATCCAACCAGCCTACAATCTGGTCACTGGGATACTGCCCGCGCAGCTGCTGGATATGTCCATCTAACAGACGACACATCCCGTCAACCTTCGTGTCAAAGCATTTCTGGATGTCCTTCCTGCTGCCTGGTCAGCCGCCACAGCCGCCATCATTCGACTGTCACAATTACCAAGCAATCTGCATCTGGCCATCATATACGTCCGCCTCTGGAAAGTCCACATCAGTTTGCAGAGATGGTACATCAAGCTTGAGCCAGGGAGCTGCTGTGGCCTCGGTACCGAAGGCGCATTTGAACCGCTGAAACCGTCCGAAGGTCATTCTCCAAGCGGTTGCACTTGGGGATAAACGTAAATGATCACTTATTTTTTCCAGTCTGTCGCATATGATGCGGTGAATTTCTCTATCAATAAACACTGAGCCGATCGGATGTCCTAGAGCAATATTAGCCAGCGGCTATGGTCGATGCCCTTGCTACATAACGAATCACCTTCCACGTGGCCGAGCTGGGAAAGTCGCGTAGGCTCACTTCGGGCCGACAGAAGCTTGAGGACATTCACATCCTAGAAATGGTGTTGGTCTGCAGGAACTGCAATAACGTCACGCCTGAAGCAGAGGGGGGTAGGTAATACTGTTGTTCCGCCACCCGAGTCGCAAACCATGATTGTATCATCTTGCTGCGATTCTTAGTCAAGCACAACAACCGCAGAGAAGAAGAGCAGAAACCGACCCGATAGTGTTCATTTCCAGCGTAGACTGCCGCTGCCTCGGCTTCAGTCAATCCAATGCAGGCGCGATGATTGGGATTCTGGACGCCAATGATCTGAGCAAGCAGCCGGCGGGTTTCTTCCACCATGCGCACATCCTTCCACGTGGTTGGAACGCTGAAGAGGAACTCCACACGCTGCGTGACAAACTGCGGAATGGTGTTGTCAAAGTACGATACGACGTGCCGGTAGACGCAGCGAATATAGTCTTGGAACCATCGCTGGGCCTCGGCCAAGCTGGGGCCGCCATCCCGGGGATGCTGAGGCGAGAGATGAAGCTTAAAGAACTCCTTCAAGTCTTCTTCTGAGTTGTCTAACTCACACTGAAAGCCCCACCCCTTGACGGTTGTTTGATCAAAACTGTACGTGAGGCACGTAGGCACTTTGTTCGCCAGCTCTCCCGGCAACTTGCCTGGCCATCGCTGGATGGTTTTGGGAGGCGGCCATTCTGGGCCATACGAATAGGCCACACCTGGAAGACCAGGATTCCGAGCTAATCAGCGTTCTGAGCCGCGAGACGCTGAATGATTGGAGGCCTACCAGTGTGTGTCATGCCGAAGTCAACCCCCACCACGATGTCAGGTCGCCACTCCTCGTCCTCGTGGGCAGAGGCCTTCCTTGGGGGCCCAAGGGCCTCGATGTCACTCATTTCCTGGAGATGAGAGGGGAAATTTGTTCAATAGTTAAGAAAAGGGAGCTGACTCCCAGGCATTGAAATGAGCTCGAAGGTGCAATTTGGTGCCCCGCTTTATCCAATGCGGCTAAAATGTCCGTTCGATTGACTAGACGACGCTATTGCTCGACCATGGCCCGCAACCCTAGCTAGTCTGCCACATATCCCTGCATCGGGCTTCTGCGTTCGGCTGACTCTCTCCATTTTGGATGGGGCGATAAAAGTACTTTAGCGCTCGCTGAGCCCTCCGTCACCTGGCTTTCTCTCACCATTCACCATGGCGGACTCACTGCGGCCTCGTCAAGCGCAGACATCCGCGGCAGAGTCACAGTCTACCCTTTCAAGCCCCTCGCCTGAGTACTACACGAGTTCAGCCATCTCAAGCTCATATTATACCTCCGTTGCTATTACTCCCTCTGATACTACCTCCTCTCGTGCTACCTCCTCTGGCACCACACCCCTGGGAACTACACCTTCACCATCTGCTTCCCCAACAGTGACAACAGCCAAGACTGCCTCTTCCTCGGTCTCCCAGCATACTCAAACGGCTACCAACCATCCAAGCTCAGGCCATGGAGTCAGTAGTGGTGCTCTGGCGGGTGCAGTAGTTGGCTCCATTGCTGGAACCGCCATCATCGCCCTCCTCGCCGCTTGGCTCTTTTTCCGGTCTAGACGTGATCCTCCTCGACGAGCGAGCAATCTTCAGAGCCCTGATCGACAGGGCGTAGAACTGGCAAAATCATCAGCGACTGTCCAAACTCGCCCGATTCCCGCTTCTTTCGCTGCGGGAGCGGAACAAAGCTTGTCTCTAGACTTGGCTCCCTTCATCCCACCACCCGCCGACGATCAAACTGTGAGCTCTCGCATCCAAATCCTCTTCGACCATATCAGCCTCCACGTGGACAACTACTACGCCCCCGATAGTGGTGATAGCGCCCAGCCCCACGCGCCAGAGATTCAAGAGGTGGTCCGATACAACTCTCCATTCATCTCTGGCCCGCTCGCGGCTACCTTGGCAAATCGTCGCGTTCGACGAGCGGCACTGACCCACGTCCTTGCTCGTACATTACTAGAGGCTATCCAGGCCGGTGGATTGCTCTACCCGCCATTTCAAGATACCCATGAAGGGGATATCGCCCGTCTCTCCGCAGGAGCTGCGATAGCGAGTGACAATGCCGCTTTTGCGTGGCGTTTGCTTACAGCTCATCTGCATGCCGACTATCTCGATACCTCGTCCCCGGCTGCACAGAGGAACATCGCTGCTCTTGCAGGGGATTTTTCACGGACGTTCGCAGCGTTCCACAACCCACAGTTCTCTGATCCGGACGTCCGACGCCATCTAAGAAGTGTGGTGAAGGAAGCCGCCGACCTGGGCGTCTGGTTGTTCGCTCAACCGTGCTCTTTCGAGTTTGTCTGGGATGCACCGTCGCGGTCTATCGCAATTTTACCAGCAGTAGTCAAGGTCAGCGATGAGCGGGGGCAGCGACTAGCTACGCCCCGGAAAGTAGTGGAGGAAGCGACCGCGCAGATTTGACATTCGGAACGATCATCGTAGCCAACTATATGTAGCAAATCACAGTCATAATGCACTCGCAAGCCGTGTCAACCCAGTTAACTATACCCCATATATCAAACTCTCAAAACATCCCCATCAGCCAAAACCTCCTCCGCTCGATCAACAGCAGCCGCATTCCCCTTAGACTGCCTCCACCGTAGCAAATCCAACATCTCTTCCTCCAATCCACCCGACGACCCCCCTCCCGCGCCTTCTTCCCTTCCCCCCTCCGTATCCAAGCCCCCCACCAGACCATCTCCATCCTCCGGCCTCACAACCTCACCAGCCGGCAACTCCATCACATCCTGCTCCTGCTGGTATGCAGCACCACCAGCGGGAGCCTGCACCCCACGCAACCGCTCAAATACCACCATCAAACTCTGGTGACACATCAGCAGCCGACTGCGCTGCAACCGCGCCCGCCGACTATCGCGACACACCCACCGCAGCTGCGTCGCCAGGCCGATACTCCCCCGACGCCGCCGGGTCTCCTGCTCCACGCGGGCCGGTTCCACCAGCAGCGCAACCGCGCGCACCGCATCGTCCAGGTCGGCCATCGTAGCTTCGATCCAGTGGGTCTCGGTGGCATCCAGCCACGTGGCCTTGAGGCGGTACAGGCGCTGTACCTCGCGGAGTTGCGTGCGGACATGGTGGATGGTCTTGAGGAGGTCGGCGGTTTCGTCCTGGGCGGAGGAGAAGAGAGCTCTCGGGGGTGGTTGCTCGGATGACAGTGTTGTTGCTAGCGCTGAGGCCGGGGGATTGGTTGAGGAGTGGGGTTTCTTGACGGAGAGGAAGGAAGAGACGCGCGAAGAGGGCGTTGGTGTGGAATGGCCGGTATTGTTGGCGTTTGCTTCCATGGTGACGTTTTGCTTAGACGGTATGTCGGGGTGTTGCTTCAGAGTGAAGGTGAAACTCTCCGCGTACGGTACCTGTCGGGGGTGCCTTCGGCCGGTTCTTAGCGACAATGCGTGACAAGCTTGACGGCGGGGACTCGAAGCGACGGACAATGGCCTAGTGCCACGCTTGCAGGGCACGATTCTAGAATACAAATGTTCATTTTCCGTAGACGGAAAGGTGGCGATAGAAGAGGGCCAGGAGATGCAACATGGAGCCTGGATCGGGCTGCATCGTCTTTGTCGAAACTAGGGCTCAGATGGTGATGGCGCGGATATAGACCAATCAGCGCCTCAGGCCTCACCTCTAGTGCTGATGTTGTTCTGCGCCTTGACTGCGCCGCAATTTCTTATCCCTGGTAAGTACTCTTTCTAGCTTGCGACGGCTCCGGCTTAGCTTTCCTGCTTAGCCTATTTGTTACTTAGCGCACGAGAACGAGTCAGTTGGGTGCTGCGGTTGTCAGTCAATCGTGGTAGCACTCAACTGACTGTCGATGGCCTAGGCTGATTAGCGCAAGTGCGATCAGTGTCGGCTCTTCCTATGCTATGCAAGACAAAGATAGGTCTGCGTCCTCTCTCCACCAGGAATTCGTCTTCTTCCCATTTAGGACTAGTGACAGTTAATTCTGCCGGCAACAGCCACCACCGTCAAGTCCTTATACCAACCATCTGCCTCAATAAGAAATTAGGAAGGCGGTGCTGCAGAAAGTGGCGCCTGGAACCAAACAACTTGGTGGGGGGAGTACGCAGACTACTTTCCTCCCACTGTAATTTCCTCCTTATCTTCTTTGTCGGTAGATTAGTCACTTCACTACATTATTCAGCATTCCGCACAAGGACTTGTGCTAGGTGGAGAGGATGGGGGCTGCAGGCGTGGGAAGCGGATGATTTGAGTCTCAGATCGACATTGGCTGGCGCTCCAGTATAGACATGCCTACCACAGTCACCTTTGATTTATGAACGAATCTCATCATGAACTAACTCCAAATTAGGTCATACATTATTATCCAGGAATATGAGGTTGATCTTGCTACGTCGAACAGCGACATATGATTCAATCCGAGTAGTCTGACATGGTCAGAACCGCATATACTGTATCTCGAGCTGCAAATAAGCCCAGAGCATCGCGTTAAGTGGCTCAGCTTGTTGCAAAAGATGAAATATTGGAGACAAGCCAGTTGTTGACCAGTTCCCGGATCCCCCATTGTAATCCGAACATAGGACAGAAATTCCGACCGTGGGGCTGAAGCTCAAACTCGAAGGGTCGGGCGCGCTTCTGTAGAGATGCAGATGAAGGGTTAACCGATAACCATTTTGTTAGCTGACAGGCTTGTTCCCGTCGCATCTCTCAGCCTTGTTCGCCCAAATCTCGAACCTTCCAGCATCTACACGGTGATTCCTATGCTTTCTTCTTGCTCATTCTGACTCATTGAGAGGTTATATAACTCGAGAAAAGTTTCTTAACCTCAGCATGAATACCGATCCTTAGCATCCTCACCAGCCCCACCGTCCCCACCACCAAAGCCCCGCCAGTTTAGACGCTTCTCAACCACTCAGAAAATAATCATTTACTCCAACTCCATAATGACGTTGAAAGCAATTGTATTCCTTTCACGCAGTCCGAAAGTCACCCCGCAGGAGTTCAAAGACTACTACGAGAATCACCACATGCCTCTGGCGAAGGAGATCGCCGGCAGCTCGTTTCCCACCCTCCACCAGCGCTGGTACCTCGTCCGGAACCCCCGGGATCCCGCCTCCACAGACCCATCGAACACCAATTACCTCGCCAAGGTGTATGCGGGCCAAGCAGACGACTTCTCGTGGGATGTGTGCGTTGAGATGATCTTCGAAGATATGCAGCACTGGGGAACCTTTCAGGCTCGGCTGGCGGAACAGGGGGACCGGATTGCGGAGGATGAGAAGAGGTTTATGGATCGCAGCAGGGTTTATGTGGCCGAGATTGAAGGGCCATTTGGGTCGACACCTTGAGGGTTGGCACTGGCGATGGGCGATGCGTATGATGGAAGAAGGGATTATAGAGGGTGGGGTGAAGGTATGTTGTATTATACAAAGTGATAGTTGGGTTGCATCAAGCTAGTATTGTGCGTGCTTGGCAATGACTTCGATTCGTCCCTCTTGAATGTTTCATCTTACTGGAAGTGGTAAAATGAGAAGTTCTTAATTATCTTATTTGATACATGTTTTATAAATTGATAGTAATTTGAGCTGGGCGTCTCCTGGTGCGTACATCAGTAAAGCATGTGGTGGTGGTTCTGGAACCGGGATAACGTCAGACGCCAGCAATAAATGCTAATTTGAATGGCAGAGATTCACAAGCCAAGGTGGGGTAAGTCAATCGACTGGAGATACATGAACTGCATCTGTGACGGAAGTAATATCCAGTTTCGTAGATGATGATTGAGCGGCCACCTTTATAAACCCTATTTCACCTTGAAGCTCGCTGTGCTCCTACCAGCTGTTTCTTTCTGAGGCGGCTTTGCTCGGACTTGGGGCGATCGGAAACCAGATCTCAAATCCCAGATCTCCAATAATCTTCCCTCGGAGGAGGGTGGGCAGGCACCACCAGTAGACGAGCTGCATGCGGGTACATCCCCCGTATAGCCCGCAAACCATGGCTCAGGTCGGAATCTAGAACCTTAAGAAGTGATGGTGTCAGTGGCAACGACTCTTTGCTTTCTCCTTTTTACCCCCGCAAGATCCTGTGGAGACAGCTCAAATTTTGACATATGTCATTCCTTCGCATACCCACTTTGCCTGTCAATAATGTTCATTCAGCGACTGATGCTGCAAGCTCGCACTTTGCGTTCTAGTCTTGCCTTGGAGCAGCGATGAATGTGACAGGACCGGTGCTACCCCCACCTGGCGAAACAGTGAATCCCAATCCTCGGCCATGGCTGTTCACAGCGAACTGCATCGCGATCGCCGTGGGTCTTGCGCTGAGCACAGTCTTCCTGGTGATCCGAATCTACACCAAAGCACGGATTCTGCGGAAGTTCTGGTGGGATGATGGTGTGTACTCACTCACTCCTCATTTCAATGGCTCCAGTGAAACTGACTCCTAGCCCGCACAGTATTCATTCTCCTGGCCTGGGTAAGTACACACAGGTTGAGTGTACAATGGAAAGGACGAAGTGATTGATCCCCAGAGCAATAGGTCTTTTCCGTCAGCACCCAGGCGGTCATTATATGTATGGACATATCGTTTCAGCAAATCCGACAACGCAACTAACCCGCCTACCTTCAGATGGCTGCCTCGATGCAGGCTTTGCAATAGACATCTGGGATCTGTCTGTCTCAGAACTCGTCACCTATCGAAAGGTACTCAATGATACATCCATTGCTAGCATTCGCGACTGGGATTAATCGGAGTACGATGACATTAGACCATTCTTGCCATGGCGGTGATCCACATCCAGGCCCTAGCGTTCGCCAAATTCGCCGTCCTGATGCTGTACTACCGAGTCCTCAAGTTCATCACTCCGTGGCGGTACACACTCTGGGCCGTGGGTAGTAGCATCGGACTCTACAGTGTTATCCTAGTCTTCATGCTTATCTTCGCCTGCGTGCCGATCGAGGATGGCTGGTCCCTCACCCGCCCTAGTGCCTGCCGACGACGATCGGGCCTCTATCTGGCCACCGCAATCGCCAATACCGCCAGCGACAGCATCTTGCTGCTCATCCCGATGATCTTTATCTGGGCCCTGAACCTACCATTCATGCAGAAGATTGGTTTATTCTGCCTGCTTGGTTTGGGATGTCTGTACGTGATTCTTGTTTCACCTCCGTTTGCGATCACGTCCCCAGTATCAATATCAAGGGTGGTAACTGACCCGTTGGGATGCCCTTGGGGCTTTGTGTTGAACAGTACGGTTGTGACCAGTATTGTTCGCCTGGTCACTCTCATTCCTCTTCTCGATTCGAATAACCAGCCCCATAACATCGGGCTTGTGTGTCTCTTTATGTATGTGCCTTCAGTCGCATGAACAAGAGTTCTCCTGCCCAGTGTCCCCTCCCCCGCCCGTTTCTTTTCTTGCTTTTTCTGTAATGCTGAGCCCCCACTAACACGCGACAACCCATCTACAGAGTCCTTGAAGCAAATTTCATTATCCTCTGCGGCTGCCTCCCCTTCACGCGCGCGTTCCTGCACCACTACGCCCCGAAATGGTTCTCCTCGCGCAACGGGAGTCGGGGCGACCGGTATTACTTGACGGGGACGCCCCCCTCCAGCCTGACCTCGCCCTCGCATATGACCCCCCCATCCAACATGGCTTCGCCAGCTGTATCATCACCAGAATACCGTCGCAGACCATCGTACTTCGATATTGAAGCCATTCTGAACGACATACCACCGGCGGAATGTTCTGAGTTTGCGGGTCCACCGAGAGAGCCCCTGCCAGCTTGGAAAGGGCCGATACGAAGTGACATGATCGATTGACTGATGACCTTTCCGAAACTAAAAGTATGCTGCTTGATTTCTATAGACCAGGTTAAAAGTGGTTTCTCAAGCGATTGTATGACTATAATGATTAATTTGTGGATATATGAGTCGGGGGGTCTTCAATTGGAGGCCTCTGAAGCCATGTGAAACGGTGGCAAAGCAGGAAGGGATAGGGCAGAATAGCAGGGTAGACCTGTACTACATCGGCAGTCTAACCCACACCCTTTCTCTCCAGGTTCTAGGCTCTCACTACCATTGAATAGGTTCAGTGTAGAGGAGTATGACAGAGCAGCAGTTCTATCTTCGAAATGTAGCCAGCCCCACCGCCGCAACCACACCAACCAGCCCAACTCCAAGCCACACCTTGCCCGTTCCTTTATCTTGCTCTCAAACACTTCTCCCAACATAGGCCGTCGCCACCGCCGCTGCCGCCGTCTTGACGGGTAAAAACTCCAACCTCGGTGCTCCGGACGCAAAGCGCGCAAATAGCGCAGCCTTCCACCGATCCGGAATCACAGGCGACAAGTACCGGGCGGCGAAGCGCAGGAACCCGGTCTCCTGGGCCTCGTACCGCGTGATCTTCGCGGACAACCCCAGAACCGCCGTCGCGCGCGGACGGTGGCTCCGGTCGAACTCCGCAAAGAGAGCCCCAAGCTGCTCAACTTCCGGGGCCGTGCGGGGGCCGCAGTCCTGCAGTAACGCGACCAGGGCATTGGTGAGATGCGCCACGCCCTCAAGCGCGAGATTGCCGCCGAAGCCGGCGTTGGGGGTGACCTTGTGTGCCGCATCGCCGAGCAGCAGGACGCGGCCGTGGCTCCACTGCGAGACGATCCCTTCTTCCAGCGAGACCAAAGACCCCTTCACGCGGGCGGTCCATAGGTCCCGAATGGTGTAGCCCGGCCCCGGCGCCACGTGGCCGTATTCGTGAGCCAAGGCGTCCGCGTCGGCTTCGGTGAACCGGGGACAGTTGGGCGTCCGCGTGCTGGGGACTTTGACGAAGAGAAACCAGAAGACGAGGCCTGGAACGCCTGTAGCGGTTATCGCGGAGTGGTTCTGGTGGTAGACGTTGTGGACGGTCCCGTCGGGGAGGAAGGGGGCTGCGGGGTCGTTGCGCGAGACCGCGAAGAGGCACTTGTATTCACTGGTGAATGCTGCATTGCGCCATTGGCAGTGGTTAGTGTATGGAATGCACGGATGGGGATGAAAGATGACGACAACGCACATTGCTCGATGCCTTCTGCGAGAGCAACGTCTGTGGGACGGATCTTATCGGCCATGAGCTGCCGGACGCGGCTATGAATTCCATCGGCTCCAACCAAAATACTCCCCTGGAACCTCTGGCCATCGGCTGTCGTCACTGCAATACCCCCAGGGGTCTCTTCGTACGCAACGACGGGACTCTGGCTGTGGAGCTTCCTGGGATCCGCGATGTGGTCGTGGAGGATCCGCAGCATCTCGCTGCGTTCCATGAAGATGGTCGGATATTTCAGGCTTGGAGAGAGAAGTCAGCTCATGGAACCGGCATTGGTTTGCTTGCTTCAAGTATACGATCATTTCACTACTGCTGAAGATACTGCAAAGCAATAGATGCCTCCATGCAGTATCCGTTCTCGTCGAAGTGATATCGCGCCCGCAAGGGGATCACGACTTTCTCAATCTCAGACCAGACGCCCAATTGATCCATCAGCTGATTCGATTGCGGGTAGAAGCCTATGGAGGCGCCCAGCTGGGGAGCGAAGTCCCCTTTCTCGAAGAGCTCGTAATCGATTCCCGCGTGCTCCAGACTGATGGCCAGGGTCAGGCCGACCAGGCTGCCGCCGGCGATCAGGACCTTGAAGTTTCCCGCCATGTTCGCGTGGGGACTGGTTCGATTGCGTTGACTACGATGGGTGAGGGAAGATAATTTGCCGTTGTTCAGGGTCTTTCAGGGTCTTTCATCTCCCCGCACCGCTAATTAATGAGGAGTTCAGCTTTCACGCTAGTCTCTAGTGCATGTCTCATTATCCAACCACCAGCCATGTCTGGTAGTCCCACCTGATCTGACAGGCTGTTTATATCGGCATTGAGTCAATGGGAACAATAGTCACATGACATAACAGACTCGAATCGCCATAAATGGCCAGGTGAATCATACACACGAACCTATATCTTATGTAACCCCGACTGCATAGTCTACGGGGTCCATCGAGTAATAAACAACACCCTGTCCGAATCGAACTTGTGATAAATCAACACGAAGCGCTGGACTGTCAGAGCTATAAGTCCCGATACACCGTGATGGCTCGGGAAACTCATCGAGCAGGTTGCCCGGCAGCCATATCGCGCCACAGTAAACATATTGGGCCTAGTTCCACGGTTGCCTTTTATACTTCTGGTGCTTCGATATCGTCTTGACTGCTTTGTAGAGAGCCAACTCGATCTTTTGGTCTGTGAGTCCCTGCATCCCGCCTCGGTGGAGGTGCGTGTAAAATGAGCAAGCACTCTCGACGCAGTCCGCGTTATCCGACGGCCATAAGCAACCGATCAGGTGTCTGAATCCCGCGACCTGAAAGCGGCTGACGACAGGGAGGTGTTCATCCTGGGGCCTCGGAGCCCGGAGCCCGGGCCTGCATCATCGAGCAGGCCGGGAGATACACAAGCTGGTCCTGCGCATTGTATCTATCATGGATCACTCACACGGTCAGAACCTGTTGCTGAGGGGTGGCGATGGGTGGCGGTGGCTGTTACAGAAGCAACCACTGTCCGCGGGATAAAGCGGATCGGCCACACCATGGCACGCGAAGTGCACAATCCGTCTCTGTCAAAGATGCTGCATCGCTTTATTGACATCTGGTTTCTGGAGCTTCTCAATCTGGACCGAAAAGCCAAGCACGGTTAGAATGGCAGCCACCTCCTGCTCCACACCCTCCAGGTCGGCAGCGCCGGGGGTTTGGGACATGGCGACGAGGACCAATTTTGGCTGGAGCGACTGGTTTGATGCCGGAAGAGACAGGCCGCCAGCCTGACACATTGCTGCACCACCTTTACTGCTCCCTCAAGGTTTATCTTCGCATTCGTACTCACGTCTGAACTCCTTGCTCCCCAGGATAAACTTTTGATGTTACTTGACTGAGTAGGACTGTGAGCTGATTCTTCTTGTTTTTCTCGCCGGTGACAGCATGCTGAGAGATTCTTCGAGATAATCCAGGTGCCATGTATTGATCTGGAGGGCCATCAGTGTGTATGCCGTTCCAATCAGCTCAATTTCATGATTATGTGTCCCATCGAGAACAATCCTTAGAAGCTGAACAGAGACATCGAACAGCTTCACAAGACCTCCCTCGTTCTGTGTCAAAATATATCGCCTTGGGACCAAGCCTCTAAGGGCCAGTAGATGCCCCACGATGGCCGGGAGTGCATTGGCGTCGCATCGACCACCTGCTCAAGATGCCATATTGCGGCATCGAGGGAGCCGAAAACCGTGACTCAGTTCTCTCATCATCTCCCCTTGAGCCTCGCCGTACAATGGGTATTATTGCTGGCTCTGGATCACTCTAACACAGAGTGGATCTACAAAATAAAATCCAGCAGGTCTGATTTATCCCTCCCGGGCCCCTACAGGTATTGGCACGTGATCTCATCTCACACACGCTGAAGCCTTGCTTTTTACTGTTGAAGAAGCAGCGAGTTTTCCACACATTGTCATTGTTTCATTCAGAACATGATTGATTCTTCGATCTCAAATGTGGCACCAACAGGTCTTTTCCGCCCCATTCTTATACGTATCGGAACCGGTTCTCAGACCACATATGATCACGTGATAGAGATATTGCCATCAGAAAGCATATTGAACCCGTACTTCACGCCGCCAAAGGGGGTAGTTACACCTTCGAACGGAGAAAAAAGGACAAAGGACTTGGGTAGGGATGTTTTACTCTGCCAGGTAAAAAGCTCACGTATTGTGACTCCAAATTTGGGGCAGATGGATCATTTCCAGGGAAAAAACAAGATCTAGATGTCAATCGAGCAACAATTAGCCACCAACTCCATGGCCGTGATGCAATGACCGTGATGCAATGGAGACGTATGTCTCGGCCATTACTTTCGACGACATGATAAACTCTCTTTTCTTACGTCTGATATAACGACAAGGTGCCTCCTCTCTCCACACGCCCTCCTTTTCCCATCCTGCTTGAGAATAATCACAAACATCTCGCTCCTCTGATCGAACCTCTAGTATCGGTTTCAAGTCCTGGAATTTATTTACTGCACTCAGCTTGACCATCCTGTACATTCTTCCATGGACAAACGACGTTCATCCTTCGTCCACAACCCTCTCCCTCTTGTGACCGATCGACAGCCACGGTCCAACATGCCGGACACCGGAGATGACAACCTGGGCCCTATGATGGATGTTGACTTCAAAGATAGCGATACCAGCAAAGGCCTCGATGGCATGGGCCCTCAGAGCTCTATGGGGGCACAGAATATTCCAACAGCCCCTGATGCTGGAGCAAGATACGACGCCCCCGACGGCATGAACCGACAGCTCTTGAGTACGAGCGCTGGATACCCGGCCCAGATGTGTGACGCTGAACCCATGGATGCTACACAAGACACCAATGTCCGCGATTTCTCCAGTGAAGATGAGATAAACGAAACGCTCTATGGCAGGGATGGGTCAATGTAGACGGTTTTCCTGTACTGTTCTGGAAAAGTGCTTTCATCGTGTAGAACATAACCATCTCTGTGACTGAATATAATGCGTTGCTGTTTAGAGGGAAATGCCGTGTACTACCCTTGGAGAGCTCTGATTAAGGCGCCGCGTGCTGAGAGCTCTAGGCCCTTAAGCACGGAGTAGACGGCAAATCTGGCCAGCCGCAACGGCATTGAAAATTTTAGATCAAGCGAGGTGAGTACCCCAATGTCCTCCTATACCACCGAATGAAGGCGGGCTATCCGCAGGCTTCCATTTTGGGTATTTCTGTGGGTTGTGATGATAGGGGGTGGGGAGATGCCTCAGGCACCAGAAGTCTGCGCTTTGGCAATCCAAGAGTACACCGACCTTTTGATAGCGAACGACGAAGGGTCGAGGTTCCTTTATTGAACCTCTTGGCTGAAACCTTTCCGTTTTTCCGTCAACTCTCATGTCAACATCTTCAGGCTTTGGCAGCTTTCGGTCCCATCTTTCCCTGATCCCGGGTATTTTAGGTATATAGCCTGGACCCTGGTGTAGAAAGACAGGTTGGCATGAGAAGAACTTATGTACAGTACAGCTGAAGCACGATGAATCCCAATTCAAAGTCATACGTGTGCTAGCCATTGCTGGAACAGGCTAGCAGAGGCAGGCTTGGCCGGGACTCAATTCCGATAGTGGAGAGCTTGGCGCATCCTGCATTTCTTAGCGGCACGTTGTCATACCAGGGACCTGAAAACATCGAATCTGATCCAAACAATTCGTTGCCCGTCAATCCTCATGCGCACCCAATTCGATTGCAATTGATCCGAATTTGACTGCGATTCTGCTGAGTCATCAGCAGTTATGCAGACAGGCTGGGTATAAAGCAGGAACGACGTCATTTATGCGGCGAATTGCTAAGCGCGATGACCTCATGACAAATCAAGAGTGGAACCCTATCGAAGAGCTCCAGCTTCACTTTTTTTCAACCTCGGCATTTACAGTCTAGTATTTGACTGCACTTATCCCTGCCGTCCTGTCAGCACTTTAATCCTCCTTCTCTCCAATCAATAACCGACTTTAATATACACACACAAACACACACACACACACACACAAGCAAAAATGAGCCTTCCAACCACCTACAAAGCGGCTGTGGTCCCCGCCCCGCACGCCCAGCACACCGTCGAGGACCGCTCCCTGCCGGCCCTGGAAGCCAACCAAGTGGCCATCAAGATCACCGCTACGGCTGTGAACCCGGTCGACTGGAAGATCCGGGACTACAACGTGTTCCTGAAGTCGTACCCGGCGGTGCTGGGCTCAGATGCCGCAGGCGAGATCGTGGCGGTGGGCAGCAACGTCTCGACGCACACCGTCGGCGATCGCGTCTTCTTCCAGGGTATCATTGGCAACTACCCGGCCTCGACCTTCCAGCAGTACTGCGTGATGCCCGCCGAGCTGGTGTCGCACACGCCCCGCAACATCTCCGACGACCAGGCCGCGGGCATCAGTCTGGCGTCGGTGGCCGTCGTCACGGGCCTCTACGACAAGACGGGCCACGCGATCAGCCCCGCGCCCTGGGCCGCCGGCGGCGCCGAAGCCGGCAAGGGGAAAGCGATCGCCATCGTGGGCGGCTCCTCCAGCGTCGGCCAGTACGCGATCCAGTTCGCGCGGCTGTCCGGCTTCGAGCGCATCATCACCAACGCCAGCGCGGCGCATCAGGAGTTCCTGAAGGGGCTGGGCGCGCACGTCGTCCTCGACCGGAAGACCGCGACCGCCCAGGACTTCGTGGCTGCTGCGGGTGAGGGCGTCAAGCTGAGCTACGTGTATGATGCCATCTCCGTCAAGGAGACGCAGAAGCTGGGCGTCGAGATCGCCCAGGCTACCCAGGGCGCAGCGCAGGCCGTCGTGACCGTGCAGGGGGTTGACCAGGAGGCGGCCGCTCTGGGTGAGTCCCAGGAACCCAAGGTCGCCGTCAAGCAAATTCTCGGGCTGGGTAGCTCCCCCGCCCTGCGGCATTTGAGTGAGCCCATGGTCAAGGCTCTCGGTGGGGAGGATGGGTGGATCGCCAAGGGGCTGTTTGTGCCGAACCGGGTGCGTCTGATCCCCGGTGGCATTGGCGCGGTCGAGGAGGCGTTGAAGACGAACAAGGAGGGTGTGTCGGGCGAGAAGGTCGTTTTCCGTCCCAACGACGCTTAGATGGGTGTTATTGTTGTTTGAGAAAGATGTATGATCACTTCAAATGTATAATAATAGAATCTTTCCGAATATGGTCACACAAGCTTCGCAAGTCAATGCTTCGGGTATAATGTCGCAGCCGGAGGTGTGCGCACATCAAGACGAGTCGACCAGCGCAATGAACCCCCCAAGAAAGCCTAAGCCATCGATGATCAGCTAACGATTTGCGCGGTCACCTGGTCATATTAATCCTCGCGGGGTGATGCCACTGTCTCTAGGGTATAGACCCAGGGATAGAAAAACAGTCTGTACCAGTGGTCAAGATCAAAGCCACACCAATGGTACATCCCGCTCGTGATGATTGGAATCACTTCGCCGAAATTTCCGAAGAGTGTCACAATCTCATCAAGATGAGCACACACCCCTTGACGCCTTAGGCACGAGGCATAGGGCTAGACCGGGCGGTGGCACAAGCCGCAGCACCAGGCGCCACTGACGTGCGATCATGCACACCAGATGCCCCCCTCCCCTCCCCTTCTCACGCGCCCAAAAATGCTTATGTGGCTGGCTGATGGGCTTCGCTTTTCTCTTATATATCTTCTCCAGCAGTGACTGACTTCCCATCTGCGCACATCATGCCCACCACCCCGAAAAGCAAACCATCATGGACCCCAACAATCCCACCGTCACCGTTGCCTCTCTTTCCTCGATCGTTCACACCACCCTGTCAGCATTTGACTGCGTTACCGAGGCACTAATCACAGGGGACACGACCGTAGGCCTGAAGGCCCGCTTCCGGGTGGAGCTGCTGCGGTTACGCCTGTGGGGCCGAACCCGCGGATTCGGTCTGCTGTCATCCCCACCACCCTTGCCCTCTAGCAACAACATATTCGCCATCCCCGAAGTCCGGCGCCTGGCATTCGACATGCTCGGAAAAACGCTGCTGGTGCTGGACAGGCATCTGCAGATCCGCAAGAAATCTCCGCCCGTGCGCGAACAGACACTGTCGCGGTTCGAGAATGGATATTCCGCAACCCCATACGCTCGGGTCCTAGAAGCAAAAAGTGCACTTAATCAGAGGCTCGCTGATCCGGCGCAGCGGGCAAAGGTTGTCAGACAGATCCGCAGGGCAATAGACGATAAGGCGCCCTTGCCGGGGTCTTGGGTCGAGCGCACAACGGTCCGTGAGTTTCTGACCGACCTGGTGACATTGAATACGGGGCTGGAGCGGCTGTTGCCGGCAGACGAAGCGGACTTCTTGGCGAGGGGTCTTGCGGGCGAGATCCTTGCCTCGGAGCCTAGGTTGGTGGTGGCGGATGAGAATTCCTTCGGGGTGCGGAATAGTCTGGCTGCTGGGATGGTTCGCCTGCGCCAGCTGACCGAATTGGAAATCTTTGATCTAGGAGGGAGTGCAAAAGCGCCAACATCAGCGGGACACGAGAAAGAAGAGGATGAAGCCCAAAGCTTGGCAGCTCATCCTCAGGCCATGAAGGCACTGTCAACCTTCGAGATCCCGGTGTTCTGTCTCCAAGGCTTCACGGAACCGGCCCTTCCGGACATTCAAACACATGACTCCACCTCGTCGCAGGGAAAGGTGTTAGATGCTCCACCCGTGCGATCTGTATATCTTTACACCCCTAGAGATCCCCACGAGCAAGAGGGCTATGTCCTCGTGGAATGGCAATCCCGGCTGGCTACGACTGGATCGAGTCACCCCCCAACCTCAGACCAGTGCGTTGCACAACGTCGACAACATTTGGTCGAGATTCTCCGCGAAATCTCAGTTGCTGACAGCGAATTCCGTGTTCTGGAATGCAGAGGATACACGCTTGCCACCGGCCGACTACCAAATGGGAACTTTCATCCGGTGATAGGCTTCGTGTACCAGCCGCCTCTGCTTGCGACCGCACCGATCACTCTGCATGGTATACTGGCCACCGCCTATAAGTCCCAGACGCCCGCAGTGCCGGAACTTGGAGAACGTGTCCGTCTAGCCCAGAGGTTGGCGCTGAGTTTGTACCAGCTGCACTGCGCCGGACGGATTCACGGAAGCATCTCCAGCCATAACACAATGTTCTTCTCTGATACGGAGAGTGCAAGATATGACATCACTGAGCCATACATCTGTGGCTGGCCGGACGTCCATCCTACGCAAGCTATGGGTGATGGGTGTGGAGCTCCGGACAGTTGCTTGCAAGAGACACGCGCCATTGGTCTTGGAGATATGGCAATGTATGCCCATCCCGATTGTGTAACCGACGGGGAAGCGAAGCGCGGTAACCAGGAGACCCACGACACGTACGGTCTAGGTGTGGTTTTGACGGAAATTGCTTTATGGGAGCCAATCGTCGCCTTGGCGCATCCGGTTTACCGGGAAGCAATGCAGTCATCCCAGCAATATGCTGGCATCAACCATCGGAGGTGGTCCAATATGGTGATTGAGGAGGCAGATCGCAAGATTGGGGCAAGGATGGGCGCCAGGTATCGGGCTGCTGCAATGGCATGTCTGCGTGGAGTCCATTCGACTGGTCTGTGTGAAAGTTTGGAGGCTGACGCTGAGAGACTATTATTCTGGAAGGTGGTCAGAGAGTTAAGATAGATATTGCGTTGCGACGGCTATAGATGAGAGCGCAAGTTCCACAGACCACTACTAACACCATCTACCTCTCCAAGTCCAACCTCTCCTCCCCAAAGACAGAGTCCTCGACTGCCGTCGCCGCTACTTCTCCCATATGGCCCCCTCCGGCCTCCTCCTGGTCCGCCCACCAGTCTGACGGCGTGGGTGCCGATCGGGGATGTCTCGCTGGAGGCTGACGGGCTGATGTACTTGGAGAAGTCGACGGATATTGGGCGTAGGACGGAGGCCGAGGTCGGTCGCAATGCGGGGAATTTGACCGATGAGGAACGTGTGTCGGCGTTCAATAAGAACCTGAACGATGGTGGCTTTCTGAGTCGCGATACGGTCGCCTACGGCAAGGGAGAGGATCGGAAGTGGTTAATCACGGAGTATGAGGCCGGAGCTGTCATCTTTCATGATCCGTTTCTAGTGCATGCAAGTTTCAAGAATAAAGGATCCTGAGAGAGGGATTCGTTTGGCCACGGATTTGAGGTTCGTGGATGCGAATCAGGCGTACGATCAGGTGAGTTCCCTTTCTTCCTGCCACATGCGACGACTTTGCTAATGGTGAATAAGCGGTGGATGAAAGTCTGGAGACCACTCGATGGTTTGTGATATGCCTGGCAAGGTCTTAAGGTTGTAGAGTCAGATACCACATGAGTACCGCGGAATGAAACGACGCAATACTTTTGCTCAAGTTCTAATTACAAGTGATGCATATTTATTCCCCATGAAGACCGAAGGTCCGCTTACGCATCAAAGCTCTCCTCTTCTTGTCCGTTTCAGCATCCCATGCAATGAATTCATGTAGTCCTGATCCAGCAGGAACCATCGGCAGCACCGGGACTTTTTTGTCGGTCACAACTTCCAGCAGAGCAGGACCATCCGTGTTGATCAGCCATTTCAGGGCCTCCGACACTTCCTCCGGCTTGGTAGCACGCCGTTGCTGGACGTGCATTGCCTTGGCCAGTTTCATGAAGTCCGGATTTCGGATATGCGTGTGGGCATATCTATCTTCATAGAAGAGGTTCTGCCACTGAGTCACCATGCCTTGTTCCTCATTGTTGAGCACAATCACCTTCACCCCAATGTTGAATTGTGCAGCGGTACTCAATTCAGTCAAAGTCATTCCGAACGAAGCATCGCCATCTATGTCGATGACCAATGCATCGGGCCTCGCCACCTTCGCTCCGATAGCAGCGGGCAAGCCAAAGCCCATCGTCCCCAATCCGCCCGAAGTAATCATCGTGCGCGGATACCGCCAGCGGAACTGCTGTGCCGTCCACATCTGATGTTGTCCAATTCCCGTGGTGATGATGGTTTCCTGCTTGCGATCGGCAGTCAATCTACTGAGTTCTTCGATCATTGCTTGAGGTTGGATCAGATGCGACCGATCCGACCGATCATACACGTTTAGCGGCCAGCGCTTCTTCCACTCTATAATCTTCCCAAACCACGACCGACGATCGGGATGCGCCATATCCTTCTGTTTAACTTGGGGAAGCACAGCCGCGAGGCTCTCGGCAACATCGCCTACAACCGCCTCGGTCGCTTGGACAACCTTGTTGATATTCTTCGGCAGGATGTCGAAATGCACGATCCCGCCGACGCCCGCCGCCGCCGCCGCTCGTGCCGCGGGGGCGAACTTCTTGATATTCATCGTGACCCGATCGTCGAATCGAGCTCCCAGCGCGATAATTAGATCCGCTTCCTGCATCGCCATGTTCGCGTACCCGGATCCGTGCATTCCCACCATATGCAGGGACTTCTCATCCAGTTCATCGAACCCACCGAGTCCCTGCAGGGTGGTAGTTACCGGGATTGAGGACTTTTCCACAAGCTCTCTGAGCAATCGCGGAGCATCCGGCGAGTTGACCACACCTTGGCCCGCGTAGATGACGGGCCTTTTGGCAGTGTTGATCAACTCAGCCACCCGAGCGATTGATTTCTGGGGCACCGCCTTGACACTGTCACCAACAGTCGGAACGACCGGCAGCGCCGACGCGGTCGGGATCGCCTTCCTTAGGACCGCAGCCGTGACATCCTTAGGAAGATCAACCAGCACGGGACCGGGTCGCCCACTTGTCGCAATCTGAAACGCCTCATTGATGCGCTGCGGCAGTTCCGAGACATGGCGCACCATGACGTTCCATTTCGTGCATGAGCGCGAGATGCCCAGCATATCCGCCTCCTGGAACCCGTCACTGCCGATCAACGAGGTCGCAACCTGCCCGCAGAAGACAATCATGGGCGTGCCGTCACAAAGCGCGTCCTGCATCGGGGTCACGACGTTCGTGGCTCCCGGGCCGGAGGTCACCAGCACGATCCCCGGTTTTCCGGACGCTCGGGCATATCCTTCGGCCATGTGTCCGGCACCTTGTTCGTGTTTTGGGAGGACGAAATCGACCTTTTTCGAGTTGTAGATGGCGTCGAAGACAGGCAGGATGGCTCCACCGGGGTATCCAACTGCAGTCGTCGACCGAATTGTCAGTAAGGGCCTCAGGCAGGTGGGTTTGGGGCATATGCACATACAGATGTGTTTGACGTTGTGACGCTGCATCATCTCGTGGAAGATCTCGCCTCCGGTCATTCCAATGAATCTGCTGTGTTTTAGTGGTAAGGACGGGGAAGAGCCATTCCAAGAGTCACCCACGATTTGTCCATGGCCGGGCGTGAGATGCCTGCTGCTGGCAAGATCTGTCTCTCCGGTACCGCCTCGTTGTGTTTCAACTGCGTCGCAGCAGAAGCTGTGCCCCGGGTAGTGGGTGTACTTCGCATTGAAACGAAGTGGCTGGCGACAGCATGTTTTGTTGAAGCTCTGGAGAGGGCATTGGGAGCCCGAGAAATATGTCGAATTCTATGCATGATCCAAGTCGATCGGAAATCCGATGATGCTGGCAGAAGTGGACTGGAGAGGCTGTTGTAGTAAGGGAGAAAGCAGCGAACGGTGCAAACAAGAAGACAATAAGTAGTTGTCTGGATCTAGATTGACAGGCGGGTCGCACCACAATCCAGTTCGGGGAAGGAGCCGATGAGTCACTTAACGTTACTTTGTGTTCCTGGCTAACTCTCGGCCAGATCGTATATCAAGGGCAAACTACTAGTGCAGAATGAAGTGGGCATGCCCTATGCTGAAGTCCTGCCCAGCTGTAATGTAATGAAATAGGTTTAGTGCGTTAGAACTGGTTATCCGGGCATGCCCAGTTTTGCAAAATCCTCTAACACCACACATCAAGACTGAATAATCGATCCGGATCAATACTCCGACTGCTAGGTAGGAAGAACTTAGATGACTCATGTGTGCTGCGACATCGGCCCCGGATTGGAATTGGTAGACTGTCGAGATGATCTAGATCTCGCTGCTGGGACCTGAACTCAGTACGTGCAAATAGATTGTTCCTTATTAGTCTGCAACTGATGATGCTCGCACATACTTCACTGTAAGCAAGCCCCAGCAGCCTTGATCCTTTTACTTTTGATAGATCTCACTGCAGCTCCTATCACCAACATCCACAAGATGATGATCTGCTACTGCGTACAATGTAGTCAATAAACTCTGCACGGGCGATAGAAGGCGGTGAGTGAGTCACCAACCCCTGGCTATGGCACGTGACTATCTTAACTCCGGAAAGCCGGCCTTCTGTGTTGATCTTAACTCCGTGGTTGTTTATACATGCTCTCGTGCCATCGACATTCTGTACATTTCCCACTGCGACTATCAGCCACCGTATTGCGGCAATAAAGGCCCATGGTTACATCTCCACCGATGGAGTATCATCCGCGGACCCAGAGTCTTCGTGGTCTCAGAGACTCTGCTACCAACATTCACCTTGGAAGAACCGCATGTTTGCTATGCCGACAAGCTCCAACTGCTGGAGAGCAGTTTCTTGGTACTGCACACACCTAGTGTCTAATTTTTTTCTCTGTTTTGCTCTCTCTCTTGATTTTCTAATTGTTTCTTGCATAGATGTACATCACATCCTGCGCACAGCTCCAGACTGTTCAGTCTCGTGCCAGAGCTGCTTGTACACACCGAATCCCGGGCTTTGGTTCCACAAACGATGCTACGACACTTTGATAGACACCTACGAGCCGGCGAAGAGGCCTACGCAGCCCGAAATGATGAAGTACATGTGTGCCATCAAACCAGCCTATCAAGTCCGAAGGGATAGACGCGGAGAGATCTCATCAATCTTGGAAGGGTTGCGTAGAGCGTCGACAGGGAGATTGACCCAGCCAGATTCCGTACTAGACTTGTTCATGCGGCTCCCGATGGAACTCAAGTTTTTGGTCGCGGAGCTCACAGCACCGTGCTGGTATCTGACCGTTCTGGGCGAGGGCCGTCGATTGCTGGAGGAGTGGAAACGCCGTGCACCCCAGCCGAAGCAGCTCACGCTCCAGCACGATGTCTGGATGCGGCGCATCCACTGCCGAGGCATTCCGTACGTGACCCAGCTCAGTACCGCGCCGCTGGAGGCTACGGCTACTTCGCGTGTACACCACCTCAAGATCCCCGTGGCGATGAACAGGATTGTCTTGTCGCTGGACGCGTTCGGCTTGCGCGGCATCCAGTTTTTAAACAAGGACTCGGTGCCAGATTCCGACGAGTCCGCGTGGTACAAGGTCCTCCGGCCGCGGGCTCCTGCCGTGAACATCAAAGTGGAGTGTAATGTATGGGGGTTTCTGGGGTAACCCTGCTCAGTGCTGTCGTCAGGGCTGATGTGTCATGTCCAGGACCTGTTTGTGCAGGACATCGCACTCGTCTCCGACGGTTCATCCTCCGCCAAGTGGCGTTGGAGCACCCCAGTACCCCCGGCATTCCAGCCGTGGAACGCGCATAGCCTCCGCAAGAACCCTCGGTTGGACTACGTTGCATTCGACGCCAACGTGAAAGGCCTTCTGGCCTGTTGCACCGACCACGGGATGATGGGTCTCCACGGATTCTCGGACACAGCGACTCGTTTCAAAGAGTTCCTCGAACTGATGCACTGGCGCGACAGCACGGGCCGGAAAGTCTGGATCTACTTTCCGTTGAACCAGCAAGAATCCATCACAGCCGCATGGACGCGTAGATATTGTCTTAGAGCTAGGGAGTTTGGCTTAGTGGTGAGCCCCACCTGAACCCCCATTTCTTTGACCTCGTAGTGACAATCAACCGCGCACAGCTTCAAACCTCTTTAGGAAGAACCATTACCTTCGCACCTCCCACTCCACACATCATGGAAGAACCATTCAAGTGCGTTCTGCTGGTCAAGGCGAGCGACGGCCCGATCACTGGTGTCTTTCACGACGGACTCGACCCCGCTCGCGTACATATTACCTCAGTCGGGGTAACGTGCAGTGACTCGTTCAAAGAGGGTGATAAGGCTCTGGATCCGCAGCCGGAGGGACCTCGCCTGGAGCCTCCGAGAGAACTCGATGGCCGCCTAGGCCTGTCAAAGCAAAATTGGTTCATGACCAAGGCACCCCTCCAGGGGCTAGTCAAAGTGCAGGTCTGCAGGGATCCGGAGCAACCACATCATCCAATTTCAGGCCTACTGCTTGTCTATGACGACGAACATATCGAGTCACTCGGACAGGTGCGGTGGGAGTACGGCTTCAGTGAAGAAGTTCTGATGCCTGCGTACGTTGAAACGGGTGCTGTTGATGGACGAGATTGTGTCAAGAGCATTCGTAGTGCGCAGGAACCTGGGGTAGATTTTGGCACGGAGGGTTGGCGAGCGTTGCCCCTAACTGGCACTATTGTCTGGTGGTTTTATTATGGTGGTGATCAGATCGCCATATATGATTGATGAGGGGACCGGACTCTCCATGCAACAATCGCTTGTAACTATTCAAAATACTCTGTATATTCCTATCAAGTTGATGAGCGTGATGAGTACAAGGAAGTGCTACACCGCCCTTCTATATCCTCAATAATCTGGTAACGCAGCCCTCATCATTCGTACAGCTTGACTGATCCGCCGAGCCTCCGGGGAATGCACCTCAATGTACTGGTCGGGCTCACCCAAGCCCTGGGACCCGAATAAAGCAGTCAAAAAATCTTCCCCGCGACCGCACCGCCATGCTCGACCTCTGGTCCCAAATGTCGTGAACGCGTACACATATTCCCGGTCAGGGTGGGCCTCCAAACACCTCACGCAAGCATCGTACGCTCGAGCCTCCGCTCTCTCGACAGCTCGAGGGCTTCTGTCCGATGCTTCGGCCTTGTGAAACACGAGCACCGCGAGACTGATCCCCTCGCGCATATTTTCGACGGTAATGTCCACGCCCCGACGGCCACTACTGTCCTGACGACGAGGTTCCTGCGACACGACTTAGTCCTTTTCTGGGAAGAAGTGCTTGCTGCACAGATGAGTCCAGAACTTTGCTGATGCTCGCTCTTCGGGCTGCTGTGTCTGGTCTAGCTCCCACAGTTTCAGGAGGAGGTCATCGGTAATGAGGGACATTGTGTGGTGTGTTTTAGTTATGGCACAGAGGGTGCCTGGGTTACTGTTCTTTGATTCGCGATCTAGGCTCCTTAACTTGCTTTCTGCTAGCAGACCGTTGGAAAGTCAAAGTCTACAGGACACAGGCTTTATCTAGCAAAATTGATCACTGGAGTATGTTGTGGTAGTCCTCTAGTTCTGATATGGAATCTGACCCCCGAGACAACAAGTTGGGTTGGACCCCGCTTATGCTCCCTTTAAGTGCCAGCCCCGCCAGGCCCCGCCGTGTCTCCGCACTTGACTGGCCTGGCCGTGTAGAAAAGGACTCCATTCGCCAGACCTTGCCCAGTTGGGCTTCGCTATGGCTGCATTTCAATTCAGCCTCATGTTATAGATGACTTTACAAGTGTCATTGTCTCCAGATATAGTCATAGCCAGAGATTTAGCTTCGAGCCCTCTTGGAGCAGCAACTTATGCTTAGCAAAGTGCCTACCACTTGGAGCGAAGGGAAAGCTATATAAGCCGTGTCCGCATCACACGTCTGTTCTCTTACTAGATTTCCTCACACAACTTCCCTCAACATTCAAGCATACACCATGACCAAGCCCATCACCGTCTGGTTGACCCGTACGTCTCTATTGTACACACTGCCCACTCATCCACCCACAGAAGCTAACATTAATCCCAGCTCCCGGTCCTAACCCCTGGAAGGTCAGCCACCACCAACACCAATCCCAAGACACCATCAAGCATTGACACCCTCCTCCATCTACCAGGTCGTCCTCATTCTCGAAGAACTTCAAGTCCCCTACGAGATCCAATCCTTCAAGTTCGATGATGTGAAAAACCCACCCTTCATCAACATCAACCCCAACGGCCGCGCCCCAGGTAAGCCCACCCACCCACGCCTAGGCTCTTATCTTATCACCCCCCAAACATCCTCAACCACAAGCCCTAAGCCACCACTAACCACAAAAACAGCAATCGTCGACCCCAACACAAACCTGACTCTCTGGGAATCCGGCGCCATCATCCAGTACCTGATCGATGTCTATGACACCGACCACAAACTCAGCTTCCCCAGCCTCGCGGAGCGCCACCTCTGCAACCAATACCTCCATTTCCAGATGAGCGGACAGGGCCCGTACTTCGGCCAGGCGGCGTGGTATGCCCTCTCCCCTGACCCCCAACCCACCCTTCCATCTCTCTCGCACACCCAAGACCTAAAAAGACTAACACAGAAGTAAAAGGTTCACCGTCCTCCACCCCGAAAAACTCCCCAGCGTGATCGACCGCTACGTCACCGAAGTCCGCCGCATCCTGGGGGTGCTGGACACGGTCCTCGCCGACAAGACCTGGCTCGTGGTGGACAAGCTGACGTTCGCGGACCTGGCTTTCGTACCGTGGAACGGGCGGCTGAATTACCTGCTCCCGGAGGCCGAGCAGGATCTGTCGGCGTGGCCCAATGTGCAGGCGTGGCAGCGGCGGATGGAGGCGCGGCCGGCCTGGCGGACGTGCATCGAGCGGCGGGATCGCCTGATGGATGAGCAGGGGTTGCAGCCGAATGGGATGCCCAAGGGGGTGAGTAATATTCGAGAGTATGAGGAGTTGATTGCGCGGAATGCAGAGGGGCGAAAGGAATAGAGGGTGGGTGGGGCTTGGTGCGATGAGGTTGAAGTGGATACTATATCTGACTTTGAATTATGAGTTTTATTTCCTGAGATTGTATATGCTTCATGTATGTCCTCCATTCAGTGATGAATCGTTCCTCGCTCAAGGCAAGGAACAAGCCCGAGAAGGTCCTGTGAGAGCTGGATTCTCAGCTGAATCAGTTGGTTAAATACTTTGCATCCTAAATTCGTGTACGACTGCATGACTACGGTAAAGTAGCACTTTGTATTAAACCAACCATCCCTACTTCAAAGTAGCCAGCTTAAACGTCATGGCTGATCTTCAAATCCCGGATCTGATAAGATGCAGGGATCTCGACGGCTGATTAATCGCCATTGCGTGATGCGGAAGGTCGGCGAATGGAATCGGGCACTGCATATGTCAGCCTCTGGATTACCAACCCTTCTCGCCACATACGATGATTGGAGGAATGCCAGGATTGAGACAACTGCTATGTACGGTATGTAAGCTGAATGCAGCAATTATTCCTTACGCGCTTCACAGCTTGATGATTATGTGATCACATACATGTTGTGTGCCGGGGATTGCTCGGCATTGATTGTTAATCCTCAATGCCGGTGGCGTCATCGCGCCCGTTGCCGGCTGTCTTTATATACCACCACATCACATCAACACAACAATCTTTTTCATCCCTCAGCACCACACTCAATTCGAACTTACTCGTTTCAAGCGGACTCGGTCTAAACACACCCCATACCAAAGCCATTGAAAATGACAGCACAAGGCGATGTCACGGCGGAGATCAACTTCTACCGCGCCCCCGCCGACGGCTCCGCGCCCTTCGTCTACGTGGAGCAGCCTCCAGCCGGCCAACCGCAACAGAACTTCTCGCAGACCACCCAGCAGGTCCCTCTGACCGACATCCGCGGCCACGAGGAGGAGTATTCCCTCGCCAAGGACGCCTTCCAAGTCTTCCGAGGGGTCCCCTCGGCCATGAGCTACGCGCAATTCGACTCGGACGAGGCCATCCGCGAGGTCTACTACCCAGAAACCGAGCGATTGCTGCTCGAGCACGTCCCCGGCGCGCGACGGGTGGTCATCTTCGACCACACGGTGCGCAAGCATGACCCGAGCGCCTCGCGGCAGCCGGTGACGTACGCGCACGTGGACCAGACCGCGGCGGCGGCGGAGGCGCGCGTGCGGCGGAGCATCGCGGACCCGGCGGAGGCGGAGAGGCTGGCGCAGGGCCGGTTCCGCATCATCAACGTCTGGCGGCCGATCAACGGGCGGGTCGAGTCGCTGCCCCTCGCCTTCGCCAGCGGCAGCTCCACCGACCCCGCGGATCTCATCCCCGTCCAGCGCCGCTACCCCACCTTCACCGGCGAGACCATGAGCGTCCAGTACCAGCCCTCCCAGAAGTGGCTGTACTGGTCGCACGTTGCCGACGACGAGCGCATCCTGCTGCAGTGCTCCGACAATCAGCCGGGCGCCGTGGCCCGCGTGCCCCATGCCGCCTTTGTGCATCCCCGCTCCCCGGCCGATGCGAAGCCCCGGGAGAGTATTGAGGTGCGCGCGTTGGTGTTTGATTAGGTGGTTGTGTGGTTTCGCTTGTGAGATTACTTTTGGGCTTGTTTCTTTGTGGTACACATACATAGCGTGGGCTTAGCATAATACGACTGACTATATTAATGACCGAAAATGCATGATTCTTATAATCCCGCCCTCCCGCTACACCGACAACAAAATGTAGATACACTGCATCGTAGAAATGAAAACCATCATTGTAGATATGCCCTCTTTCCACAGACCGTGTACACTTCCACCCTATTAATTCCACTCCTTCAAACCCACCGCGCCCCAATCCACCCCGGAATCTTCCTAACAGCAGGCCACCACCAGCCCCCCTTCCTCGCCCCGAACACTATCGCCGTCCCCAGCACCCCGGCCGAAGTGACCGTGAGGGCGAGATTCATCAACGCCGTCCGCCGCCAGGGCCCGACTCTCTTCTCCACTCGATTCCGAAATCCTTCCCCGGCATTCGTCTGGGGAAACGGCTGCTGCGGGACCTCCTTCTCCAAGAACTATACCTCGTCAGCACCAACTCAACCCCAACCACAAAGCACACACACCCAAATCCCTCATGACACAGAAAGAAAGAAAGAAAGGTCCACAAACCTCACACAAAGGCCCCCACCCATCCTCAACATTCCACTCCAACAGATTATCCGAAGGCACCAACCCCTTAACCATCCACCCATGCTCGCGATACACGCGTCTCCCCTTCCCGACCAACCCCTCCTCCACCGTCCTCGCCCCAAACAACCCCGGAAACCCAACGGCATAATACAACCGCCACAGCCAGAACACCTCCGCACTGAACAGATGCAACACCCAGAGACCCCAGTGCGCGGCGCCGTCCGTCACGAACGCCTGCCGGGCGCTGCGCTGCCACGCAGCCACGTCGCGGCGCGTGTTGAGGATGACCTTGGCGTCCGGGTAGGCCTGCAGGATCTCGGGCGTGAAAAGGGCGGCGGCCGAGTCGAGGACCACGTCGCAGTCGCCGGGGAGGAGGGCGTCGAAGTCCGCCCGCGTGATCGGGTCGTCTCGCGGCGTGGTCGCGGAGGGCGCGTGTTTGCGCTCGGCGAGCTGCGCCCACGCCTGGAGGTGGGCGGCCGTGTCGAAGACGAGGTCCCAGCCGTGGAAGGGCTTGTAGCCCAGTTGGGTCAGGGCGAGGCTGAGGCTTTCTGTGCCGGAGCGGGGGAGCCCCACGCATAGGATGCGGATGGGTTGGGTGCGGTGGCGGGGTGGTGGGGGGGGATAGCTGTAGAGGGTTTTGATGAGGGGGTTCATTTTGAGGGTGATTCTGTGGGTAAGGGCTGAAGGGGAGGGGGGAGGAGGGGAGAAGTTGTGATGACGGTGGTCGCGGGGCTTGATTCAGTTGTATATGCAGCGGAAAGAGAGCTTGTGTAACAATTGCTTAAGAATGACACTGGAATCTTCAAGAAAAGAAGGAAACCTGGACTTAGCAGTGTAACGAGGTGTTTGACTCTTATATACCAAGTTATGGTGGCTGACTACAACCGCGAAGTCTCAGCCGTGGAAACGAACCTCCCTAGTAGTGCTCACTGGTCATCTCGGACCGCATAAAGCTTGATTGGCTGGTTCGTGTCTCAGGGTTCGACAACACCGACAATAAAGTGGCCAAGTACATCCAGCTCGTTTTAAGCAAGGCTCTTGACATCGCCTGGCAGATTAAAGTCATTCTCGGGCGTCGGATGGCCCGTTCAGGCAACAGTTCTGGGGACACCCCGGATCATCCTGGCTGGAGAGAGCAGTGGAACTGAGGCTGGACTGGGAGATGTAGCTAGTTGATCCTTGTTCCTCGGTCAGAAGAGAAAAATTTTCGCATTCTTTCAGAGTTGTGACTAGATGGATAAATTGACTGGCGCTGTGGAAGAGACATCGGCAACACAGTCGCAGGTGTCAACAAACATACATCCTTGGCTGGCTGGCTACCCGTAGGATGTGTACATTTCTCCATATGAGGTTCTATCAGGCTGCATTTCAGAATCAGGCCTGATCTGTTAGTCTGGTAACTTGTAAGCACAATTAATGACTCTGTGAAGCAAATGATAGCTCCGTAGCATGGCACAAAGCACTCGAACAAAATGAATGTACACACTACCCGGCCAGCGAACTGACAACTTGCCATGAATTTCATCTCTCGATTGAAAATCTAGAAAATCAAAGTGGCTTGGATAACCATATCCAAGTATGAGAAGCATCTTCAATAGCGTGAGATCCTTAAACAAAACTGATTACTCGGGGATTGTTGAAGCTCTAGCAAGTTTGAAGTGGTTTACTTGAGTTGTGATCGAGTCGGCCAGGGAGGGTAGTCGGAAGGTCTTCACCGCTTGATAATGAAAATGCTTCTGCCGGCAGATAAAATGCCAGAGAAACAAGGCGGTGTGAAACTCATGTCAACCAGACAAACCGCTACCAAATCATCTTCACATGGTATCAACAACCAAAGTGCCCATATACAGACCACAGTAGTTCGTACACCACGCACATACCTCCACAACCCATCTAAGTCGACTTTGCTTTGAAATCCGATCTTCGGCATCGAAAAATGACGTCCCTGCCAAGCACCCAGCAGCAGGGAATACACCACCACCCGTGAACGGCCCGCGCTGATGCGCAACCGCCGCACTCGTCACTCTGCTTTGTATGTACTGTACCCGTCGCTCTGCCGAGCACCAGCTCGCCGTTGCGCCCAATCCTCTGGTGTCAGCAACAGTGTATCCTGCTCCTTGATCTGCGACCATACAATCAGTGGCGTAGATATAGTTCACAAGAGCCAACATCTAAAAACTCTATTTTACTTCAGCCGGAGAGCGCGCGATACGCACAAATCGCGGCAGCGCGAAAGTGATATAGATTTTTGATGCGTCAGCCCAGCAACGAGGTTTCACACCCGACGGCTTGCCATCCCACCGCTGACGTCTGCCTTTTTTTTTTTTTCTCCTATTATTCTTTGACAAAAGTCTATTGTATCCCGAAGCTCAAGACTCGCTGCTTGGTTTGTGTACTACCGTGCCTTGATCCAATCAAGGTTTGCCGACGGGGAGCTCCAGGATCATACCACCGCGCTTGGATACCCGCCCAGCCGCGATGGAGCTTGGTAGCGACGAGGGCGTTATAGTACCAAGTACTAACTTATGTTCGTATACGTACGTGGACAGATCGTGTATACGTTGGAAGCGTACGTCATGGGTGGGATCTGGGTTGAGGGTCGATTCGCTTGCAAAACTAGTGCTACAACTACTATGTACTAAAGTTTTTTTCTGAAGTGGTTGTGCACGGCGTGTTCCATCGGAGCAGAGTGCTTTCGATGGTTGAATTCCTGTCGGGGATGTTACTGCTTGCGGAAGGTAACCGTTAGGATGGGATGGCCGATGGATGATCTGGTGAGATTGAGATCCACCCCACCCGCACCGCGGGTGCTCACACCGCCCTTGTGCACCTGCACCTGCGCCTGAGGACTCAGTACGTAGTGCGGAGTGCAATTTTGCGGTCTCAGTCTCACTGTCTTTGGATGAGAGTAAATTCGCCAACAGACAGTGGCTTGAAGGTGAGAAAGGAATGGAGAAGCATCGGACCTGCTCCTGCCGAGGATATCCCGTACAGTATCGGAGGAGCAGCCATTTGCGAGAGAGGTGAGTCAGCTGAGTCAGCGGACGTGCCAAGTCTCATCCATTAGTCATGCACCAAACTAGCAAGTGGCCCAGCAGGCCCAGCAGGCGGTCAGAGAGTACTAAGTAAGATTTAGTGGAGTCTTAGACGGAACGGCAGTGGCTTGAAGCGATGACCACGGTGCGGCTCATCGCCCTGTCCTTTCTGCTTCTTCTTCTCTCTCGGTGCTCTTCGCGATCGGGACCAACCCCTTGGCGCACGTTTCTGGCGTGCAGCTATACATACATGAACGGTGGGAAACTGGAGTCAGAACAGGAGAGAGATCGACTTTTTCCTGGATTTGAATTGAAGCTATCCCGGATTCATGGGTTGGTGGACATAGTAACTCCGAAACACACGTGCTTTTTGCACCTGGACGACTACCGGGTTAGGGCATGTGCTCCAGGCTGATTGGCAATACGACCGTACCTTAGCAGCACCTGCTGGAAGGCATTTCATTGGCTCATCCTCTTTTTCTTCTGCCTTTTTTGCCCTTTTTTCGGGCGCAGAGTTTTTTTTCTTTTCAGGCCACCCCACGCTAACCCATTCTGACCAAATACTACGCCGATCCACTTTTTAGTAAGAAAACCCACTTTTGGAGGAGATTCCCACGAATGAACATAGGTTCCAGTGTAGAGGGGAAACTCGGTTGCGGCAGGTATCTCGAGGGTTAACACGGTAAAATGAGGAGAGGCGCTGAGGGTGGGAGATACGGGCGGCGGTCACGGCGGTGTTGTCGGCTTTAGTTGCAGCCTCACTGTGAAGGGAGTGGGAGTGTGGGAATTCCGAGTCAGATGCAAAGGAAAAAGAATAGTGAGGGGAAAGAAAGGTCGGACCTCTCCGTCCGTCCCTCACCCAAAAGTCCCCCCGGACCCGCAAAAATTTCGGTATGGGGTATGGGGTCCGCCAACAACGGATGCCTAATAAACCGACTGCCCTATTTTGTTGGTCCCCCATCCGACTCTCCCTCCCCCCCCATCAAGTCCCCATCTGTAGGGTTGCTCAGAATTTTCTCGATCTCGGCTAATACCCATGGTAGCTACCGAAGTCCCTTGCTTGCCCACTGGACCCTTTCTGGCTGGTGTTACTGCTCACTGCACTTGATGAGTAAATACTACTACTAGTTATACTTACTACTTAGTGTCACCATTCCTTTTCTCCAGCTTAACTCACTCGTAACTGTCCTCATGCTTGCTTACTGTGCCTACCCTTCCCCGGCTTGGCTGTTCAGGTTTCATGTGATTGGGATCGACGGCTTCCGGGGCGTCAGCCAGGAAGCTTTAGCTTCCCGGCGCGGCAACCCGGGTTTCGGCGGTTAAAACAGCGCCAGCACGAAGCAAGAACGGTAACTGAAACGAATCGAAGGATTGTACTCGAGTAATCTCGGCCGGGGCAGTGGCATCCCTTGGCCCACGAAATTATCGCTCGGAATTTTACCGTCGTTGAATGGACTGACTCGACATCGTGAGCACGGAGATGGCAGAAGATGGGGGGGAGGGGAAGGGAATGGGTTCCCGTTAGGGCAAAGAGAGGGGAAGATCCTCACTTGGTGCATATGGGGTGGATCCTCAGTCCCTTGGCCAAGTGGTCTGTTTCCCACCACTCACGCCGGTTTAATCCGACCCTCCCTCCCTCGCTATCTCTCCATGCGGAGAGATAGCACATGGAGGGAGGGAGGGGAGGAGGGGAGGCGTGGCCATGTGGGAGATGACTGCTGTCATCCCTGCTGGCGAGAGATGACTCGATCTTGATTGACTGATGGATGACTGGATCGGTTAACAATGTTCCACATTCCCCTCCCCGCATCAGCAGGGAATAGGAACTCAATCATCAATCACCCATGAAGTTCATCAATAACCGTGACCTGGAGAGAGAGCCTGAAGGTCGGCAATCTTACTCTTTCCGGGAGCAGTCAGTGCCCTGAACCACAGACGAGTGCCAAGCGGCACAGTCGCAACCAGCGTAGCGTCGCGTTTGAATCCCTGACGTCAATGGCGCCGTGAACCCCGAACTGAGCTTTTTTTTCGCGGGGCCCCAAAAGATCTTATTGGTGTTGAAAAGGTGTAAATGGCCCCAGTGGTCCCCCTCTAAACCCTCTTGGCCCTCTTGGCCCCCTTGGCGGCTCGCGACACATGCCCTATACCACTTTCCGACTAAGTCTTATGTTCTCTCGGCATTAGCAAGCATTTCGAGCATTTCGAGCATTTCGAGCATTTCTAGCATTTCTGTAGCATCGCGAAACATACATAAACCCTGCTGCTGCTGTCCTTGCCCTGGTTGGGAGATCCCTTCCTTCTTGTCAAACCTCCATCCCTTACCTCTCTCCACCTTTCCCCCTCCCCCCTTTCCCCTTCTCTCCCTTTCTTTCACCTGTCACGCATACCAACATTCTTCATCGATTGGTATCCGTTCTGAAAGAAGAAGATTGATTGCCTTAAGTCAACATGTGGACAACAACATGTGGCTTGCGGGGCCGCAAGCTCCGCTTGGCCATCACCATCGTCTCCGTCCTCGGTTTCTCACTTTTCGGTTATGATCAGGGTCTGATGTCCGGTATCATCTCGGGTGATCAGTTTACGTCTGAGTTTCCTGCCCTGGCTACCGGCGCTGGCAAGGATGAGAACCACGTCTCTGTCCTTCGTGGTGCTGTCACCGCCTGCTACGAGATCGGTTGTTTCTTCGGTGCCATCTTCACTCTCTGCTTCGGTGAGCGCATTGGTCGGACTCCTCTATTGGTTGCGGGTGGTGTCATCATGACTGTCGGCGCGGTCATCTCCACTGCCTCCTACGGAGACAAATGGGGTCTGGGCCAGTTCGTCGTGGGTCGTGTCATCTCGGGCCTGGGTAACGGCATGGACACTGCCACCATCCCCGTCTGGCAGTCGGAATGCTCGAAAGCCCACAACCGTGGTTTCCTGGTCTGCTTCGAGGGTGCCATCATCGCCGTCGGTACTTTCGTCGCCTACTGGCTCGATTTCGGTCTCTCATATGTCGACACCTCGGTGCAGTGGCGCTTCCCCGTTGCCTTCCAGATCATCTTCGCCGTGCTGGTCACCGTCGGTGCCCTGATGCTCCCCGAGTCCCCTCGCTGGTTCGTCATGCGCGGTCACGACCAGGAGGCGCGCGAGGTGTTGGCCGCGCTGAACGACCTCTCCCCCGACTCCGACGAGGTCTTGGCGGACTACAACCTCATGAAGGCGGATCTCAAGGCCACCCAGGACAACAAGGCCAGCTTCAAGACGCTGTTCACCTTCGGCAAGACCCAGGAGTTCCAGCGCATGATGATCGGATGCTCGGGCCAGTTCTTCCAGCAGTTCACTGGTTGCAATGCTGCCATCTACTACTCCACCCTGCTGTTCGAGACCAACCTGCAGATGGAGCACCGTCTCTCCCTGGTGCTGGGTGGTGTCTTCGCCACCGTCTACGCGCTGGCCACCATCCCCTCCTTCTTCATGATCGAGAAGGTCGGTCGCCGCAACCTGTTCCTCATCGGTTTCCTGGGCCAGGGGCTGAGTTTCATCATCACCATGGGCTGCCTGATCGACGACACCACGTCCAACTCCAAGGGCGCGGTCGTGGGTATCTTCCTCTTCATCGTCTTCTTCGCCTTCACGACCCTGCCTCTGCCCTGGATCTACCCCCCCGAGATCAACCCCCTGCGCACCCGTACCATGGCTGCCGCCGCCTCGACCTGCACCAACTGGATCTGTAACTTCGCCGTCGTCATGTTCACGCCCGTCTTCTCCTCCTCCAGCTCGTGGGGTATCTACCTGTTCTTCGCCCTGATCAACTTCGTCGCCATCCCCTTCGCCTGGTACTTCTACGCCGAGACCGCCGGTCGCGACCTCGAGGAGATCGACATCATCTTCGCCAAGGCCCACATGGAGAAGAAGTGGCCCTACCAGGTCGCCAACGAGCTCCCCAAGCTCACCCCTGCCCAGATCGCCCAGATGTCCGCCGAGGTCGGTCTGGACGTCCCCTCCCACCAGGTGGCCCACGAGTCCGAGAAGGCCGAGCTGGCCCTCAGCAGTGGCGAGAGCCAGGAGCGCAAGGAGACCTACTAAACATGAAGGCTCCTGCTTCTCTCACAAACAAAAGAAATAATCACCAGATACCCCTCCCTCTCCCCACATGTATACATGTATAGTCGGGGCCGTGTTGCTTTGAATTTCCGCAATCGATTACCCCGAAGGGTTTTCACTTCCAGGTGGAATAAGCCCCCTTCAATGTTTGATGTCTTTCCCCTTTTTTTGATTTTTGGATTTGTTGTTGATAACACAAAGATTCTCCGCATTGGCTATTGCTTTCTTTTTCTTGGGAATGGTGATGGAAACAATGTGTTTTTTATGAACGACTCCGCCTACGGCATGCATGACACTTGCTTTTTTTTGTGGGGGTTCCTTTTGGTCAGTCATGGGGATGAACCCTTCTTAGATGGTATATTGGTATATAGATATCCTGTGTTCGTTGATAGAAGAGAGAGAAACCTATCGGCAACTCAATGCATTTTCTGTGCCATGTGATGAAGAACTTCCTACCTGCTGTTGCTGTGAACTCGTGTAGCACAAGTACGTAGCGTACAACCTGGCGGATGCTGGAGTGGAACCTTTTGCTCTCGTTCCTGGCCCATCGGCAGGTTGCTTCTAGCTTTCTTACATGTCATGTCACTGTCAGGATATACGTTCTTGTTCCTTTTTCTCTTTGTTCTTTTGGTTTCATTTCATTTTTTTTTTGTTTCAGGGGGCAAATGCTTGGTATTCGTTGGTATACTGGGGAGCATGAGAACGGCGGGTGATTGATTCCAGGCTATCTTTGAGAAACAACTACCTTGATATATACACACCCGCCAAAGGGCCGTTCTGAGGCGGGAAGCCTCTCTTCATATATGCTAAGTATACTACATAGCCATCGAAGAATGATTCCCCGAGTACATCAGACACATAATTCATCCATCCATCTGCCCAATGCTTTCATCTCCCCATCCCATGGAAACGTACTCTTGCTGATCTCTAAGTCGCCTTAAACCACCGCGAAGAAATCCACCTGAATATCCACCCCGGCCGGCAACTTGGACACCTCCACCATCGAACGAGCCGGCCGATGGGGGAACGCCGGGTCATACACCTCGGCGAATTCAGGCATGATGCTTGCATCCGTCACGTATACCTGTCATATTCAGTCAGACAGGTACATACATAAAAGTATACCCCAGAAAAAAGAAGGAGGGTTCAAGGTCCACAACCCACCACAACCTTAGCCACCCGATCCAGCCCGGAGCCCGCCTCCTGGAGGATAGCCTCCGTGTTCTGGATGATGGCCTGGGTTTTCTCCGTCACAGACCCCTTGATCAGGTTCCCTTGGGCGTCGGCCGGGATCTGGCCGGAGAGCCAGATGTGGTTACCGGCTTTGATGGCTTGAGACTTTTCGATTGTGTGCAGGTCAGCACGGGCACTAATTAGCAGTGCTTGTTCCTGATAGACTATGCCGGGGACGTACATAGTGGGCGAAGGCTGGGATTACAAGGTTAGTATAGTTGAGCTATGTAAGGGCTGAATAGTAGTGTGGTGATCCGACTCACGCGCATAGCATTTGTCAGTGTAGATACTGGAGACCGTGGTCTTTTCCCGGGTCGCTTGGAGAGGGAGTATGTTGCTGTTGCAGCGTCCGGGGTGGATAGACGCTCGGAGGGGCATTCGAGAGGTGGTGGCAAGGGAGGTAGAGATGGCGCGACGGAACATTTTACTTGACTAGTGGGTATGCAGAGATTGGGCAGTGGAAGGGGTTATATGTTTAGCTGGGCATTCAGTTAGTCCATTACACTTTCACAGTTCAGAAAAAAAGAGCACAGAACCTTTAGCTTTGCTTATCTATAAGTTAGAGTAACTGATGAGCCGATCGGCATCGGGGAAAGGCCCCGATGCCGTGCCGATGGAGGTGCCTGAGGCTGGGGATCGGCCCCACCCGCCGACTCGGGTTTCTAAGCAATTGGAGGCAAATGGAGAAATTCCTCTTTCAGTCAGCTTGGCTTCTTGAACAATCATTTCGCAATTTAAGCAGCATTTCCCAGGTCCATTTGTAGGCGGGCTTCGTTGCAAGTGACACTACCCGCTGGATAGGATTCTGTGAATCATCACCACCAAACGAACCCGCTCAATGGCCACAGCGGCAAAGAGAGTCAGTCGACTCATCACGTCAAGGTCAGTATCCTGTCCCCAGATACCCAGCATAACACCCACTAACCAAACAACCAGACCGATGCACCTCACTGGGACGCCCGCCCTTCGTCCCTTCACCCATTTGCGAATGAATTCCTCAGCAGGAGCAGCAGCAGCAGCAGCAGCAACCCCCTCTGCCCCAGCTCCTTCATCCTCCCCGGGTGAAGAAGCAGTAGCAGCCACCAAAGCGGCGCAAGCCAACTACAAAATCGTGCAAGACATCTCCAACTTCGCACAAACCGAAGCCAGCCGCCCACCCTTCGACCACACCTCCCCGGCAATCGAGGTGACCCAATCCCCCTACCCCAGCTGGACCTACGGCCAAGGCGTGCCAGACAACGGCGCCAGCGCCGGCAAAACCCACCGCGAGATCGACCCGTACGCCGCCTCCCGCCCGGCGATCAACAACTACCGCCTGCTGGTGTCGGGCATCGCGCCGCGGCCCGTGGGCTTCCTGAGCACCGTCTCCGCCGACGGCACCACCAAGAACCTGGCGCCCTTCAGCTACTTCCAGGTGGTCGACCACGACCCGCCGCTGTTCGTCGTGGGGTTCTCCTCGCGGCCGGGCCGCGCCAAGGACACCTACCGCAACCTGCAGGCGACGGGCGAGTGCGTCATCAACACCGTCTCCGAGGGGATGATTGAGGCGGTCAACGCCACCGCCATCGACGCCCCCTACGGCGTGTCGGAGTGGGAGGTCAGCGGGCTGACTGAGGCGCCCAGCGCCACTGTAACGCCGTCGCGCGTCCGCGAGTCGGTCTTCTCGATCGAGGGACGGGTGCTGGAGATCAAGGAATTCGCGGCCCACAGCCCCGGGATGAGTGTGTCGGCGGTGGTGTTGATCAAGGCGACGCGGTTCTGGGTGGAGGAGGGGGCGGTCGATGCGGAGGGCAGTCATATCGACTTGGAGAAGTTGAGGCCCGTGGCGCAGTTGGGGGGTGTGGCGTATGGGCGCATCACGTCGACGTTTGAGCGGCCGCGGACGAAGTGGGGGGCGGAGGTGGAGAAGAGTGAGGTGCTAAGGGAGTTGGAGCGGAGGAATGAGAACGGTGGAAACTAGATTCATGATACCATGGGAGTGGAAGTGGCGTTTAGATTTTCAATTGTTGTTGTTATGCTTGTGGATTTTCATAGAAAGCTGAGTAAATACTGTCTTGACAACACTAAAACGCACAGTATCAGTGAAGAAGAACGAGTGATTTTCAGGAAAAGGCTTTCGAGTATAGTTCTCAAACGCAATTGCAGACAATCATCCAGAAGTTAGTTCTCGCAGACCAAAGGATATCGCCAAATTGGGAAAATTGGTGACAGCCACACCCACGTACCTCCGCCACATCGGACCGCGCCTCCGACCATCGGAAGCTCACTCCTCGACCGGGTTTGTTTCCCCGCGTTCTTTCCGCCCACGCGTCGGCGTCAATCAATTAACACTTCATCTGCCCACCCACACTTCTGTACTGCACTGTATATCACCAGCAGTATATAACCTCAATTCCAACCATTAACCTTTTCCCATCCCATACCTCCCCATAAGCCAACATGTCCCTCCTCCGCCTCACAAAATCCTTCTCCTCCCTCTCCTCCCCTCTGCTTCATCGCCACCTCCCCCACCGCACCCTAGCCACCGCTCCCCCCAAGAAGAAAGAATGGCTCTGCATCCTCCCCGACAAGCCCAACGTCCTCGACCTCCGCCTGCAAGTCCGGCCGTACGTCTTCCTGCCCCAACTCTGCCCCACCACTAACTCGGGGTAATAGAACGCACTACGCGGAACTCAAACCCCTCATCGAGGCGGGAAAGATGGTCGTCGGCGGTAAGTGTGTCCCTACCCCGTTACCTGTAGACCCAACACGCCCATCTAGCGATGCCTCTTAAGGTCCGGATGTACTGACTTTTGGCTGCAGGCGCGATGGTCGACTCCCACCCGGAAGAGGGCAAGCCCCTCTCCTTCAAGGGGAGTATGATCGTGGTGACCGGGGAGACGGTGGAGGAGGTGCATGAGCTGATCAACAATGATATTTATGCCAAGAGTGGCGTGTGGGACTTGGAGAAGGCGCAGGTTATTCCGGTATGTTCTTCCTTGGTTTTTTTTTGGGGGTTGTGGTGATTGTGTGGCTGATTCGTGGTGGTAGTATATTTCGGCTGTTCGGGAGCCGTTGAATAAGGAGTAGGGCGCGGTTGATATGGTGGCAGTGAGTTGGGGTGATTGTCTCTGGTGTAGTAGGAGTAAGGCTTGGTTTGAGTGTTGGGTTTGGAGATTCCTGTGAGGAGCATGAGACTGCGTTTGAAAGGAAATTGAATTTCTCAGCCCATGGTTCTTGAGTTCTAATGCGTCTGCTGGATCAGGGACAGTGCAGGACATATGTCATACAGTCATATACAGTACACTGCACGCTACACTTAGATATGGCCCCATCAGATCACATAATGAGATTAGGGCCTACAGGCCCCGGCTAGTCAGTAGGCCCCGGCTAGTCATAGGGAGGGACCAGTAGCTGACGATGTTGGGTAATGATATCCGTATTACGTCTATTGAATCTGATCGCTCTATGTCTTCTCTATTGCTTCTTCTGTAAGTCATGCAAATGCCGCGTCCCGTTGATAATCGCCTCCGCGAACGCACTGCGCACCCCGGCCTTCTCCACCGTCAACAGGCTCTGAATCGTGCACCCGCGGGGCGAGGAGATGCTCTCGCGCAGCACCGCCGGATGGACCCCACTCTTGAGCAACTGCGCCAACCCCAGCAGACACTGCGCCGTCATCTCCGAGGCCTCCGCCCGCCGCATCCCCTCCGCCACGCAGCCATCCAGGATCCCGTCCACCGCGACAGACAGCGGGGCCAGCGCAGCGACCAGCATCGACCCCAGATCAAACAGCTCCGGCGCGACCACTTTCACCTGCCCCAGCTGCGCGAACATCCACTCCACCACCTCGCGATTCGCCGCCGCACACTCCGCCGGCAGTTCGACGACGGTCATCGACTCGCGCACACTGGCCGCCACGTTGGGAATCGCCCGCGCCACGGACGGCCGCGCAGACGCCTTGACCTCGGCACTGGCATACTCGGTGATATACCCCGCCAGCACGGCCGGGGTCTTGCCCGCGATCACGCTGATGATGAACTTCTCCGCCAGGGCGTCGGCCATCCCGTCGGCCGCGATGACCGCCTCGACCAGGTACGGCTTGCACCCGAGCATGACGTAGTCGGCCTCACGCACGGTGGCCAGGTTCGCGTCGGCGCGAACCTCCACCCGCGCGCGGTCCTGGGCATACTGCTCGCGCAGTCGACTGGCCGACTGCTCGGTCTTGGTGCAGGCGATGATGCGCCCGAATGGGCTGGTGGTCGGGTCGGCGCGCGTGGCGTCGAGGATCCCGCTTAGGATGGCGGAGCCCATGTTTCCTGGTCCGTTGGGTTAGTTTTGTCTGGTGCATGAGTCGGGGTGAGAGGTAGCTTAGTACCGCAGCCGATGATCGCTAGTGTTGATTGAGAAGCCATTTTGTTTATGTGTTGGGGTGGTTGTGTGTGTCGGATGGTTGGGTGAATGAATCATCGAGGGAAGTGGCAGAATTGCGAATGTTGGTGGAATCTCCGGCGGGGTTTCGGAGGGCCTCTCCGAGATCGGGGCTTCCGTATGATAAGCGCTTCAGCGCACTTGGTATTCCAGAGATAAGCAGATATCAAATTAGCGTATAGTCCTATTGTTTCATCTTCTAGCTAGCCTCGTGTTATACGTAGTTATTCATGGTATTGTTTTGTTTTATGTAGTCGAACCAGCAATCGCCCTCATGCATTAGTCAGCGATCTCCTCTCGGCCTCAGGCGCCGGCCTCGTCCGACTTTTTCTCTCCGCGCATCAACTGATCGGAACTAACCTCCGATAACGTTGTTATCGACATGTCTCTTCGCAGTTCAGAGCAATCGAGGGTCTACAAGAAATGTCAGAAGGCGTGAGTCTAGCTGTTGTGTCAGGCGAAGATATGAACTAATTCAGTTAAGCTGCGTACGATGTCGTTCCATGAAGGTCAAGTGCTCCGGGACAAATCCCTGTACGCGCTGTGCCCGGACCAAGAAACCTTGCCACTTTGCAGTGGAGGAGGCAAGGGTCTCGGTGCCAGAGAGGTGACCTGAAAGCTACAACTCTATCTTTTAGTCTGTGGCTGATGGCGCGAATGCAGCTACCTCCGTGATCTCGAGCGTCGCCATAGTGCGGCTGCAGCTGTGCGATACACCGATGTACGCAACTCGACCGAAGACGGAGACTCATTTGTCTTTTCGCATCCATCGCTTCTGGAGCAACAAGAGGGGTATTCAGGCTTTCAATCACATGTCGAGGCCAACCGTAGGTCGTCTCTTCCTTCCTGAACTCTTCGTATTGACACTGTCGGCAGCCCCATCGGAGCATGATTCCCAACCAGAAAGAGATGGACTGCGGTCGACATTTTCGAAAAATCCTCTGGTAGAATACTCATTTGCGCAGTCCCCGGACGGAAGATTCTGTAAGCTGCCCCCACACGATTTGAGCAAGTAGCGTTGACACAGGATAGGGTATATGGGCCCTACATCTTCCTGGTCCTTCTGTCGCCGCGTGCTCTCCCTGCTAGGCAAGCATGTCCCTGACGCCAACTGTCCCCCAGACCCATGGAACGTCGACGCCTCAGCGTTTGCCCTGAAATGGCGATCTCTGCCCATGGACGAGACACCGGAAGTATGCCACCTACCCCCGATCGACTACGGGCTGTATCTCTTCCACACCGTCAAGTACTACCTGGGGACACTGTTCTACATCATCGACAGCCCTTCCTTCCTCCACCGCCTGCATGACTTCTACACCGATCCCGCCACGAAAGTTGTATCAATGCGTCTGTGGTACGCACAGTATCTGCTGGTCCTGGCTTTCGGAAAAGCCTTCCTGGCACAGAATCACCCGCCGAACGCGCCGCCGTCGGGGTATCAGTACGCCGCGCGCGCGATGTCCCTGATGCCGGACTTGTCGGGGACGTATCCCGACCCGCTGCAGTGCATCCGCACCCTGACGCTCGCGGCGTTGTACTTCCAGTCGATCGATATGCGCGTCGCCGCATTTCAGCACGTGTGTTTCCCCCCTTCCCCGTTCACCCGACAACGTGCCATCAGCTGACAGATAAAGATCGGCTTCGCCCTCCGCTTCTGCATCATCGAAGGCATCCACCGCCACGTGCCGGAGGAGCTGGACGGGGCGGAATTCTCGCACCGCTGCCGGACCATCTTCTGGATCGTCTACATGCTGGACCGGGAGTTCGCCGCCCTGATCGGGGCGCCCAGCTCCATCCGCGACGAGGACATCACCGTGCGGCTGTACAGCGATGGCTCGGTGGACGAGAAGACGATCACCTTCCACGTGCGCCTCGCCAGACTCAATGCGAGGATTCTAACGAGTACATGCACTCCCAGCCCTCTTCATTCCTCTCCGTTACCTGACCAATGAAATCTCTAGCGGTCTACGGCGTGGGCCCCGACTCCACCGGCACCCTGATCAAAGACACGCAGGCCATCCTGCGGAACCTGGCCGAGCTTTCGCAGGATCTCACCGGGTTCCTGAACGCCGAGTTCCCCGCGGCATTGAGCCGGGCGTCGCGGACAGCGACGCGGTTGGTCCTGGGGTATCACCATGTACACTCCCCACCTTTTCACCCAGCAAACCTTCCCTCGCAAATCAAACACACCACCGAAAAAGACACTGACCAAGAATGCAAGAGCATCGTCCTCACCACCCGACCCCTAGTCATGTGCGCGCTGCACACGCACATCGAGCGGGCCCCATCCCGCGCCGCCATCGGCCTCTCCGCCACCGTCTCCTCGCTGCTCCAGTGCTGCGTCGAGTCCGCGCTGACGGTCTTGCAGACTCTGCGCACGCTCGCAGACGAGGATCTCATCGGTATCCCCCAACCCCTCAACCCAACCAATGCTCACACCAGGGGCTCATACTAACACGAGTGAGAAAGAATCCTTCCTCCCCTTCCAGATCGAAGACGCCTTCGCCTCCGCCTTCATCCTCTACGTCATCCAGGCCATCGCGCCGGTCCTGATCCCCGCCGAAAGCCCTTGGGCCGAGCACATCGACTGCGTGCTCGAGAAGATCGTCGCCCGGGGGAACCTGGCGGCGCCGATGCGGCGCGCGGAGCTGGAGAATCTGCGCGTGATGATGGGGCCGATCACGCCTTTTGCTGGTGGTGGTGGGGTTGGTGATTTGCCTGGGGAGATGGAGCGGCAGGGGGGACAGGAGGTTCATGAACCTGGCGTTGCGGAGGCGGGAGGAGGAGGTGGTGGTGGTGAGTTGGACGTGCACGACCCAACCACAGACTGGGAATGGGAGTACCTGGCGATCCACTCGACGATCGGGCTGGGGATGGAACCCCGGGAACTGATGGATTTGGCGGATCGGTTGGAGGGGGAGATTGCGGGCGGTGGTTAGGGTTATGCTACTGAGTCCTTTTTTCGTAAAAAGATAGGATAGTATAATACAGACAAGGCGAGAGCTCTAGCGTGCACTCCACCTCACTCATTAATTCGCTTTCTGCACTACAAAAGTCCCCGTGTGCGTCAATTCACCAGTAGAGAAAGCTAGAACCTAAGACCTAAACAATCATCCCCTCCAACCGCTTCAGCCGTCCCCGGACCTGCTCGATCTCCCACTCGATCTCCCGCCGCGGCGCGACCCACACCTTCAATTTGAGGATCCCCGCCGACACCACCAGAAACCCGATGGACGCCAGGGGCGCCCACTGGCCGACCTGCTTGGGCGTCTCTTGGGCCGGCCCGTCCTCGTGGATGTAGTACTCGATCCAGGCGACGAAGGCCAGCACGGTCAGCGGGCTGATGACGATGCTGAACCCGACGGCGAAGAGGATGCACAGGTCCAGCAGCAGCCGCACCAGGGAGCCGAGCGTGTGCAGGTGCAGGAGGCAGGTGATGGTGTGCGGGGTCGCGGTGGCGGTCGCGAGGGTGGCGCGCGTTTTCTCGAGGATGCTGTCGCTTCCTCGCTTCTCGCGTGCCTCGGCTTTCCCAGTCGAGGCGTGATCCGCCGAAGTGGGCGTGGTCATGTGTTTGGGGTCTGTGAACGAAGCCGGATGCACCACCGCGAACCAGTCCGCGCGGAACCCCTGCGCGATGGCTGTACGCTCGCGCCAGATGGTGCGCACCCGCGACGAGGGGATGCGCGAGCGGTACGGCAGACACCGGAACAGGAGGAGGACGACGTTGACGACCAGGGTCAGCCCGATGAGGCTGTAGATGTAGCGCTCGGAGTAGAGGATGCGCGACCAGAAGGCGGAGCGCGCGGTGTGGGCGGCCGCACTGTCGGCGACGGAGGCCTCGAGCGCGGACTGCTGGCGCAGCGGTTGGGTGGTGTTGAAGCACGGGTAGTAGCACACCGTCGGCAGCGAGTTGAAGAGCGTGGTGTTGCTGAAGATCGCCCACACGCTGCTGTTCCACGAGGGTGTCCGCCGCTGCCACGCCTGCCACCCGTCGCTGGACACCGTGTCCTCCGGCGGGAAGTAGTCCGGCGCGCAGAAAGCGTACTGCGTGGGCGTGTTGCGCACGCGCGGCCAGTAGATCAGCGCGCTGATCGTGCCCGCCAGCATGAGGGCGTGCCAGAGGGAGAAGAGGATAAAGCGCGCGCGGGAGTGCGTGAACGCCCGGGACCAGGTTTGCAGGGGCAGGAAGATCAGGTAGGCGGTTACTACAATCGCAAGGACGGCGTCGGCGTCCAGGTCGATGGTGGCTGGGGTGATGGGGAGGGTGGTGGTGTTGGTGATCAGGGTGGGGAAGGAAGGGGTCAGGCTGGCTAGGAGGGCTGTGTCGTTGGGTGAGATGTAGGGGAGGGTTACTGGGTTCGCTGGAGCATCTTGCGCTGGGCTTGAGACCAGGATGAAGGCCTCCAGAGCCGCGGTCCCCGCGTAGGTCGCCGCGGCTCCAAGGAAGACGTCGGAGAGCCATCCCGTCCATCGGGTCACGCAGGTGGCTAGCAGGAGAGCATAGAACAGGTAGCGTGGGCACGAGTCGTACACCGTGCTGATTGGGTAGGTGCACAGCACTTCCTCGGCCACGAACAGCGGGGTGCTCATTGGTTTGGGTGGTGGTGCAACATCTCGGTATGGAATGAGGTGAGATGAGGTTACAGAAGTCTGTCAAATGAGGACAAAGAAGATTTGCAAGCAGACGGTGTTGGAGATTCATGACGTCACGACCCGGAGTAAGCTTTAGGCTTCAATGAAAGTTAATGTGGATCAGGAACCATTCCAGCACTGAGTATCGAGAGTCTAGACATATCGTCAACCCTTGAGACCTCCTTCTTCCTTCATGATGGAGAGGATCACCTGATGCCCTCAACCCTACCCCCCGCCATTATCCTTATCTCATCGACGACAACCCATCGGACCACAACAGCCCAGCCCAAGATCTAGACCCATCCAATTCACCTCTACAACTTAGCCACCACCCTCCCCAGCCCCTCACCCCCACACTCCACCTCATCATCAAACGGTACCGCTCTCTTCCGACACGGAGTCGGCAACCCGCGCAGCGAGACTGCCCCGACCAAATACTCCTTCCACCGCCGAAACGCCCCCTCCGCCATGATCTTCGGAAACACATTCACCGAGAAATGCTTCAGCTCCGGCGTCTCCATCGCATCCGCCCGCTGCTTCTTGCCGGACGCCTCCATCATTTCTGTGGCTCTCGGGGCACGTCCTACCTGCACCTCCTCGAACATCGCCTCAATCTCGCCGTCCGTCATTCTCCCAGATTTCCCATTTGCCAGCACTTTCACCAGACAATTCGTCAGCGCGGCCGCGCTTTCGAAAGCTTGGTTGCCGCCTTGCGCGAGCACCGTCGTCATCTAACCCCCAATACCCAACAGTATCTTCATTAGCCCACTCCAACCCCATTCACCACACACCTTTCAATCAGAGTGCCAAGAGAAGAGAAAGCCTACCTTATGCGCCGCATCCCCGACCACCCCCATCCTCCCCAGGTGCCATCGCGAGTACACCCACTCCCGCAGGGGCGTGTAGACCGTCTCCACCGGGCCGGCATCCAGTAGATCCGCTAACGTAACAGTCGGGGTAATCTGATCGTTTGCATGCGCGCGGAGCACCCGCTCCTTATCTGCGGCATCGTACTTCGGAATCTCTGCCCCGTGGCGGATGGCGCCCCGATTCATGGCGAGGAACCACCAGGTGCGGTTGGCGGGGCGGGAGGTACCTACGATGTAGGACTGGTGGTCGCCCAGGATGAACTGGAGGGTGCTCTCTTCTTCTTGCTGCGAGAGACCTGGATGGTAAGGCGAGAGGCCGAAGATGCAGTCGTAGGTGGAGGGGATTTCTTCACCCAAGAATTATTAATGAGTTTTTAGGGGTGATGCAGGGTAAGGATATTGGGGAAAAGCATACGCTCTTCTTCGGAGTACTCCTTCCCTAGACCTTGCTCGGTGGCCCGCGCGACGATCGCCCGCCGCACGGTCGAGTGAGTTCCGTCCGCGCCGACGAGGATGTCGCCTTGGTACGTGCTGCCGTCGGCGGTGGTGACTTCGACCCCCCCGGGAGAATGGTGCACGCTGGTGATGCGTTTGTTCGGGAGGAGTCTGGATTTGTCGGCGATGTGGTCGTGGAGCGTGCGCAGGAGGTGGTGGCGGTCGGCCCAGATGATTGGGTAGCCGTGTCTGTGCGAGTGTTCACATTTAGTAGATGGAATCTGGAGCAGATTTGAGATATACTGAGTAGAAAAGTCCCGAGGTGGGAAGACTACCTCTCTGTCAAGCCTTTGTCGATGTGATCGACGGTGGCCAGGACTTGGCCGTCGGGCTCGCGGAGATACAGCCGAGACGCCGCACTGTCCCCTGCGCGCCGGTAGAGGTCCTCGTAACAGCCCAGTTGGTCTAGGATGCGCGCGCCGTTCGGCATCACGGCGATGCCGCCGCCGCGTCGCGGGGCCAAGTCCGGGTATGCCTCGAGGAGCAGGTAGTCGATGCCGTGCTTCTCCAGCGACAGCGCCAGGGTGAGCCCGCTGATGCCGCCCCCGGCGATGAGGACTTTGCACGGTCGGAGATTTGGGGGTGGCATTCTGGGTGGTTATGTGTAAGATGCTTAAAGAAATTGGAGGTGAATTGAGTGACTGGGAAACTTGTGGAGCTTATAGGATGGTGAAAGGATCAGGGAAGGTGGTGCGACAAGCGAGGGGAGGCTGAGGAGGGAGGCGCTGGTGCGGCGGATGTAGCTGCATCGAACTACAGGCTTAGTGATAAGACCAGCACAGATGATTCGTCTCTTGCATTGGTCTTGACCTCACCTTTGGGGCAAGGATGTGCCGGCCATAAGCACTACTAGGGAAGCGTGCAGCACCAATTGTTCAATTCCCCCAATCGGGGGTTTGCGGCGGGAAGGATCTGTGATTAGTGGAGCCAGTCGGTGATTCGGGGGGTTTGCACTGGAATAAGAAGAACAAAGAACATAAGAATGACAATTCCAAGCTGTGTGTGCATTGCTGTAGCAAGAGATTAGAGCAGCTTTTCCTAGCTAAAATAACATGTCGGTATTAGACAGTCTCATGATCAAAACACAATTATAAACGAATGACTATAAGCAAAAATTTCCTGATTCATCATCCTCCAAACCACTTCAAAAGGGAGTGAGTTTCATGCCAAAGAGGGATCACGATGATGGTCGGTGATCCAGAGTGGGGTAGTAGTTGTTGTTGTTGTTTGTCGCATCGACAGGTGTGGAATTGACTGTTGCCAAGTTAGTCTAGGACCATAATTCAGAGAAAAAAGAAAAGCTCACCTCAAGCACTGGCCGAGGCGTTGGCAGAGGCGTTAGCACTGGCGTGTCCCGAGCCAGAAGCCTCCGCATTAGCGTTAGCAGTGGCAGAACCGCCACCAGTAGCGGTGGCGTCAGCATCAGCATTGGCATCAGCATCTCCATCAGCCGAAGCATCGGCAGTAGCGCTGGCGTTAGCATCGGCGCTGGCGTCGCCGCCAGCTCCCGCGTCGAGTCCTGCATCACCACCTGCGCCTGCCCCGGTGTCAGCACCCGCACCAGTGTCAGCTCCGGTATCAGCACCTACGCCAGCATCACCGCTGCCGCTGCCGCTGACGCTGCCGCTGCCCGAGACACCAGCCGTGAGACCACCGCCGGGAAGGGAGACGCTGGTGGTAGTGCCGAACGAGACAGTAGTGCCGCTGGGGCCAGCGACAACAGTAGGGGTAGCACCGCCGGAAGCACCGCCAGAGGCACCGCCGCTGCCAGAGAGATCACCAGAAGCACCGCCGGAGACACCGCCAGAAGCACCACCAGAAGCACCGCCAGAAACACCGCCGCTGCCAGAGAGGTCGCCCGAAGCACCGCCAGAAACATCACCACTGCCACTGCCGGAGAGATCGCCCGAAGCACCACCGGAAGCACCACCGGAAACGTCACCGCTGCCGCTGCCGCTGCCAGAAACATCGCCGGAGGCACCGCCGGAAAGACCGCCCGAAGCACCGCCCGAAGCACCGCCAGAGACACCGCCGCTGCCAGAGAGATCGCCAGAGGCACCACCAGAAACATCGCCGCTACCACCAGCAGCTCCAGTTGCAACAGGGGAAACACCAACGTCACCAGTAGGAGTAGCACCAGCGCTGCCGCTGCCGCTGCCGGAAACATCACCAGAGCCACCGAGACCGGCACCGGCACCGAGACCGGCGCTGCCACCGAGACCAGCACTACCGCTAAGACCAGCGCTTCCACCGAGGCCGGCACCGGCACCCAGGCCAGCGGAGGGGGTAGCAGCGGCACCGGCACCGAGACCAGCGCCAGCACCAAGGCTAGCACCCGCGCCCAGACCGGCGCTGGCGCCAAGATCAGCTCCAGCACCCAGACCAGCGCTGCCGGAAGCACCGCCAGAGGCACCGCCAGAAGCACCGCCAGAAGCACCACCGGAGGCACCACCAGAGGCACCACCAGAGGCACCAGCGCCAAGATCGGCACCAGCACCCAGACCGGCGCTACCACCGAGGCCAGCACTAGCACCAAGGCCAGCATCAGCACCAAGGCCAGCACCAGCACCCAGACCAGCAGAGGGAGTAGCAGCGGCACCAGCGCCGAGACCAGCACCAGCACCAAGGCTGGCGCCAGCACCAAGACCGGCGTTGGCACCCAGACCAGCGTTGGCACCGAGACCGGCGTTCGCGCCCAGATCAGCTCCGGCTCCCAGATCAGCGCTGCCGCTGCCGGTGGCACTAGCACTACCGCTGCCGCTGCCACCGAAGAGACCGCTCAGGCCGGCACCCAGACCAGCGCCCAGACCAGCATTCGCACCAAGGCTGGCAGCCGCGTTTCCTCCGAGCCCAGCACCTAGACCGGCACTTCCGCTGCCGCTGCCGCTGGCACCGGCACCCAGGCTGGCGCCCAAATCAGCACTGCCGCTGCCGCCCAAGCTGGCACCCAGACCCGAGCTTCCGAAGAGGCTACCAGCGCCGCTCAGGAAGGGAAGGAGACAGGGAATGGGGATCGCATTAACGGAGACGGTCGAAGCGAGCACAGTCGCGGCGGAAACCTTGGAAACACGCATCGTGATTTCTGCTGGTGTCAGTCACTGATCGCAGAGCAAAAGAGGCGGTATACTTACCAAATTGAAACAAGTTGACAAGAGTGAGAAGGAAAGAAGTGAGGAGAGTAGGAAGACGATTATAGCTAGATAATCGTGTGAGAACGAAGGAAATGCTACCAGAGCAATGTTTTTTGAGGGTTTAGGAGAGAAGAAAGAAAGAGAAAGAGAGAAGTGGTTGAAGGATGATGATGGAAAAAAGCACAGAAACGCGAGGATGAAGACGCCTTTTATCTTGAGTCTCTCAAGCCTTCGAGGCCGGATGAGGTTCGGGATGATCTATTTCAAGAAGCGGTCATGAAACCCTTTGTGTTTGAGGGTCTATGATCGTCCCGAAGAGGATCTCACTCTCTTGCCCAGATCACGGCTGAAAGCCAATCCCTGCCAGTCGAAAAGCACCATCCAGGTAAGGTTCCTGACCATCTTGGCTTAGAGGGAACCGTCGACCGTGGTTATCAGACAGGGGTAGACTAGACCGGGGTCC